GGTAGCAAAACCTTACTTTGCAGTTTACTTAACGCACCTTGGTATACAAATACCTGGATATTAGTACCTTAGGACATTGATATTGGTCAAAAGATTTATTTTCTGCAAATTGTTAGGCCAATGCATTCTTTTTAGATAAATGAATTTGGTCTAATGCCATGTCGCCAGTTTTCAGGAAATGACCGTGACTAATTTTCAGCTAGACACGTGCATGTGTAGAACAAAGCATAATCTCACCCATTTACTTTGAATAAATACAATTTATCTTTACATTAATGGTACTTGTCATTATTTGGGGCTTAGAATATCTCTCTGCATAACATATCTCAATACACAGAAAATAGTCCAAGCGTAAAAATAAGAGTGAAATGTCCGTTAACACCGCCAAGTTAGCGAATTGTGCTCTTTTTGACATAGTTTAAGTTACATTTAGAACACGAAGTATGCCAGGTGGGAAAAGGAAAAATATCCAAAGCTTGTGTGTGGTTAACTGTAACTTAATGCTTTATTTTGCAAGAGTATGTAATCTCAGTTACATAGCTTGTGAAGTTCTGATACTATTTTCTATAATATCACGTGACTCCTATCCCATCTGGAAAATCATACAAGAGGATGCATACAATCACCAAAGACGTAAAGTTGAGAGTCATCGGAAATAGGAAGTAACGATGTAGCGAACATTTCATTTCTAAATATAAAATCGACACCATAACTTACTGTTTAGTTATTTGTCAAGTTTCGGAGTTTACAATTGGGCAATAGAAACATTACCATAACATCAATAACAACCACAAGGAACATTCCATCCTAGTAATAGATATTTCTGTCGCTTCGATTGGATCAAAATTGATCTACAGTCCTATTATTTCCAGAATTTGTGTTGCTAGTCTCATGTTAAATAATTACAATACGAATAATATAAAATTAATACCCCCAAAATATTGAATGATGATAGGTAGATTTGAGTCTGCCTTTAAACAATTAATATCATAAAGATATGTAGATTTTAGTTTGCAAAAAAATGCTCCCAAACATACATATTATATCTTTATATGATTGTATTCAGTTTTCAATATCTTGAAATCTGCCCAGTTTAAGTCTATTTGAGGACAAGACAGTGTTTCTGAAGATATGACATTGTCTAAAATGTTCGTTACTTATATAGTGGTTTATATCTAGTGGTTGGAAAACTATTAAACCATGTTTCCCCCTTGAATAGACGTTCATATTTTATGTTTGAACTTTCAGAGGATTTGTCACTTCATGGCATTTTGTTTCATGTGTATCCTGCGTTCCTAAAGTTTGCTTTCACACAGTTTAACCAATTTTTCCAAGTTCAGTATGTTCTATCCAGCACTGTACTGGCTGGGGATTAGTTAGTATCCCTAGCAAGAACACAGTTACAGAGTTAAGGAAACGTGTACTCACAGGCTTGGTAATAAGGGCCCTTGATATAACGAAAATTTCAGTGTTAGGATTCTTTTAGAGGGTACCTATCTTGTTAGCTTGTATATTCAAAAGCCTTCAGCTCTTGTAGAATTCCCGTTGGTTTTAAGCAGCCCAATATGTTACCTTGGCAAAATAAATGATTTCACTCAAATATAAATGGTTGATTTTTCAATATTTTTGTGAGCCAGTTGCGATATGACACTCAAAATAGTGTTATATCAATACTTTGATGAATAAAGATAATTTGTAAAAAATTCTAGGGAGGCAGCTACCTACGACCCTGGTCAATTGTGTTGTTTTATGTTTTCTTGACCTTTATGTCATTTTTAATATTTGTCTATATGGTCACTTTAAAATATGAAAAGAATTCCCCTAGATGTAAGAAAGTATTGTCATTGTGGTCATTGTCAAGGGAATCAATCAAACGCTTACACCACAATACGAATCAAAGCATACATAACGGCAAGTATTGACCACGTACGTATAAGTCTTAATTGGCGCTACAGAGGAAGTGGAATGACAAAGAGCATTACTTCAGCAAACACAGTTCACCAGAAGCTCTTCAGATGTCCCGATGATGAAAGACTCTATATGACCTAGTAAACTATAAACAAGTTCCTGCAACTAAAACTTGGTCATTAGTTTCCAAACGTTATTCCTACAAACAAATACAGGTGGACATCCTAGAAAATTGGGAGGTCCATCCAAATATTTTAATAGTAATCCAAATAATGACGGGTAAATACTAATCAGTCACAAATTATTACTGAATATCGGTTTATTAACTTTAAATGTGCGTTTAAGGGAGCCAACTACCTTCAATAATAATAGAAGTAGAAAACGTCTATTCTCATAAATCCCTTGGTCATCTTCCGGCTCAGGGAACATAAACAAACATACAGGGTACATCAACCCATGTCCCCCTCGTGACCATTGTCTGTCAGATCATTACGTAATGTACATTGTCTGTCAGATCATTACGTAATGTACATTGTCTGTCAGATCATTACATAATGTACATTGTCTGTCAGATCATTACGTAATGTACATTGTCTGTCAGATCAATACATAATGTACATTGTCTGTCAGATCATTACATAATGTACATTGTCTGTCAGATCATTAAATAATGTACATTGTCTGTCAGATCATTACATAATGTACATTGTCTGTCAGATCATTACGTAATGTACACTGTCTGTCAGATCATTACGTAATGTACATTGTCTGTCAGATCTACCAATGCTACTCCATCTCCTACCGCCCATACACAAGTGGAGGTCAGATAATCCCCCCAAGTCTTCTTTCAGATAATAACCAACATTGCGAGATTGGAATTAACTAACTCAGTAGAACTAGAACCTTCAGTCACATGACCAGGGGCATGTTGGTGTTGATTTCAACTTATACAATACAGTGAAGGAAACTGAAATCCTGCAATAGTGATCCTGTAAATATGTCACTTCTTTAAACATGATCGCTTGCTAATTGTTAAATGTTTAACAAACCTATATGCATAAACAGGGCGACTTTTGGGATCAGGGCCGTAGGTTTCAACTAACGCACAGCTGTCTGCGGCGTCTTCGACTACTGGGCCACCATTGCCTCTTCACGAGACGATGCCATCAGCCGTGATGTATATAGATGTTAATGTCTACTGGCACCACGTGAAGTACAACTCATCCCTTGTACAAATACAACCCATCCCTTGTATAGATACCACCCACCCCTTATACAGAAACAACTCACCCCTTGTACAGATACAACTCACCACTTGTACAAGTTCGACTCCTCTTTTCCTCATGGATAGAAAGCTACCTTATGATTTTAATCACGATTGAACTGGTACAAAGACCCAGAATCGATCTTTGAATATTTAGGCTATGTCGAGCAAACCTGTACTTGATTCAATTCCCAAACATCCGTTTCATACTCAAACCTGTACTTGATTTCATGGGTTATAGTGAAAACGGACACGAGCGAAAACGGCCAAAAATATAATCGAGAAAACGGCCACCGTTTCTAAAGAAAACGGTCTCTGAGCCTTTGAATCTACAATCAGTCACATCGGTTTGTTCAACGTTACTATCGAAACAACCTATCAATCTTCAAAGGTTAAACCGCTATAGTTATCGAATGAAGTCCGCAATGAAGTAAATCTCTATTATGTAGGACATATATAATCATATAATCTCCTTTGATATTGGTGCAACTATGTTGGCCGTTTTCTCTAGGCATAGGGACCGTTTTCTCTTGGTTCGGACGCCGTTCCAGCGCGGTGGCCGTTTTCTCGATTTTTGGGGGGTCCGTTTTCGCTGGGGTCCGTCTTCTCCGTATCCCAATTCCATCCCAAACATCCGTCCCATACTCGCTCAGTCAGGTTCATGTATTGTGACTTACCGAACCCCGGTTTGATCGGCTCCTACGAAACCACCTGTGTACTAGGTATGGATTCGGATCCTCTATTCCCATTGAAAATGAGGGCGGTGGGGTAGCCTAGTGGTTAAAGCGTCCGCTCGTCACGCCGAAGACCCGGGTTCGATTCCCCACATGGGCACAATGTGTTAAGCCCATTTCTGGTGTCCCCCGCCGTGATATTGCTGGAATATTGCTAAAAGCGGCGTAAAACTAAACTCAGTCAGCCATTGAAAATGGCCTCTAAACAATGACAGTTGAGACCAGTAAAAGCGGCTCAATGGAGTCGTGTAACATAATTGTGGAACCAAACTAAAAACACATCAGAGCTTACCCATCTGCAATTGACTGAGTGATAAACAGTAGACCGTGATGAAACAAGCTTAACGTGTCAGTTGACGGCAGTTTGAGCAATTTATCTACTAACTGTTCTCTGTAGCAGCTGTTCCACAGATGTATGTATTTACAATAATATAACGGTTTATAACAAACGCCGGAACTAATTGTGTATGGTAGTCACATACTGGTTGCTATAGCAACACTGGTCATTCCCGACGATACATCCGTTATCGTCGAACTGATTCCATACCAAACAAATATTTTCAAAAACTACAGGAATTTACAGAAACGTGTTGTTGTTTTTGCTTGTTTTTTTATTTGTTTATTTGATTGTTTGTTTTGTTTTGTTTTTCTTGTGTTGTTCTTGTTTTGTTGTTTGTTTGTTGTTGTTGTTGGTGGTGGTGGTGGTGCGTGTGTGCGTGCGTGCGTGCGTGCGTGCGTGCGTGCGTGCGTGCGTGCGTGCGTGCGTGTGAGTCTGTGAAGTGATAGCAGACTAAACCTCTGATCCAAAATTTGTATCCCAACACAACTTAAACAGAAGACCTATTCCCGTGTAGAAAAGATTCTTATCCCTCATAAAGTATATTTTGTCCCTATATATCGTACACGGTACGGTTTCCGGTTTATCTGCTGCATGCTTCCATCTGAGAGGCGAACATGCCTGTTGTGACACGTTCATTCATTCATTGAGTCCCTGTCTATTGCTGACATCAAAGGGTATCCCAAGGTCATTCCATTGCGAAACGTAAACAGATCAAAAGACCTTTTTATCCAATCGGCTAAAACAAGAAACAAAAGCGGTTTCATTAATTTATTTAGGTGGAATACGAACAGGTATAGTTGACATACCCATCAGCCAATGATTTGACCCGGAGACTCGTCACTTGACAGAACAAAATTCTTGAAATAGGCGTACGAATCTCTTGTTGGCGCCCAGTCAGCCGATCCACCACCAAAGAACGTTGAGAAGAAAATACCGTCGATGGTGACGCTGGTCTTGGTGCGGAATTTGACGTTGTTGATTTGATATACTTGTTTACCGTTGTACCAGACTTTGGCCCATCCGTCCAGCTTTCCTGGTGTATTTAGCTGCACCTCTTGAGCAATATTCTGCCAAACACCCTTTTGGAAATGCCACGAATCTCTACCTAAGGAGTTACCGAAGTCAAAGTTGCAAATGTTCTTGGTGCAAAAGTCAGAACGTTGTCCAGTAGGGATGTAGGCGTAGAGTTCTCCACCTCCTCCAGTCCTCCACATGAAACGGGTCGAAAAACAATCTTCATAGTGACGTCCTCCAGAACAGGTTTGGGAGCCTCCCCAGAGACCCGGGAGCTTGCCGCCTTTAACCCAGTCAAAATGTGGGTCAAAGTAGATGTCGTAGCTCAACGTCAGCCTCGTGTGTGGTGTGATGGGTGTCCAGTAGAATTGAATTCCTCGATGCCCCCGAACGTGGACGTAGTGTCCCTTCTCGTAGAATACTTTCAGGACGTGTTCCCCGGTACCGGTAGGGTCAAGGACAACGGAGCCCGAGTTCTCGTCAAAGCTCCCGTGTTGTAACACTGTTATTCCATGCTTGTAGTCATTCGGGTCGAACCCATTTCGTGCATACAGAACCTTGCCTGAAATAGATAGTTAAACATGATACTTATATTGATCTCGGCCACACATTGAAAGAACGACAGGTTCATCATTATGGTCAATATTAAGTGATACATATAAATGCACACAGTAATTTGTTTCCCTGACAAAATGCGTTATTATTGACGTCATTTGTCATGGATGTTACATGTTTATAAAATGGAATCGATAAATTAAAGATCATAGTTGTGTCACACCAATCACTGTCAGTGTTTCACTTGATGACATTCATTTAATACCGAGTCATGCTTGAAGACACATTTTGTATGATATACGATATGTAATGGCTCATTGTAAATCATCACTTTTATCCAAACTGTTTAAACTTATAAGGTGCTACCGGAAACAACAATGGTATGTGGAAAATGTGTAATGAAGTATTTTTATACGGATGGGTGAGTGAGTGAGTTCAGTTTTACGCCACTTTTAGCAATATTCCAGCAATATCACGACGACGGACACCAGAAATGGGCTTCACACATTGGACCCATGTTGGGAATTGAACCCGGGTCGTGGGCGTGACGAGTGAACGTATTAACCACTGGGCTACCCCATGGCCCATATACGGATGGATGGTGTGAACGACTAGTATACTTTATTAAAGGGAAGGGTTTTCGCATGCGATTATAAGAAAACTGGAGATGGCAATGGCGTCAACTCATTAGATACCAGGCAATACTGTCAGAGACTTTGACGACTGGGAAGCTGAATTTAGGTCAAATACAGTGGTACAGCACGTGGAGGCAATGCAAATACTTGTTTCATGGAGAAAATATTCTTATCGTTACTTTATAAAGCACACATTACCTTTCATAGCTCATGGAACGCCTCACTCACTCAGTGGCGTATCACCAGATGGTAGTTCACTTTAATATTCAATCTTCCTTAGTGTGCACCCACAGGCATACAACATGTGAATCTATTCTTGGTATTACCACTTACAACATGGGAATCTATTCTTGGTATTACCACTTACAACATGGGAATCTATTCTTGGTATTACCACTTACAACATGGGAATCTATTCTTGGTATTACCACTTACAACATGGGAATCTATTCTTGGTATTACCACTTACAACATGGGAATCTATTCTTGGTATTACCACTTACAACATGGGAATCTATTCTTGGTATTACCACTTACAACATGGAAATCTATTCTTGGTATTACCACTTACAACATGGGAATCTATTCTTAGTATTACCACTTGCAACATGGGAATCTATTCTTGGTATTACCACTTACAACATGGGAATCTATTCTTGGTATTACCACTTACAGCATGGGAATCTATTCTTGGTATTACCACTTACAACATGGGAATCTATTCTTGGTATTACCACTTACAACATGGGAATCTATTCTTGGTATTACCACTTACAACATGGGAATCTATTCTTGGTATTACCACTTACAACATGGGAATCTATTCTTGGTATTACCACTTACAGCATGGGATTCTATTCTTGGTATTACCACTTACAAATGGCAGAAATAGTGCCCTATGAACCTACAACTCAACTCACTCCATGTTTACCTGTGACGTGGCTAGAGGTGTGAGGTGTCCCTGGCTTGGGTGTCTGTATATTGGGTGTGTGGGCCGACACTGGCCCATCCATGCCTTCAATGTAGAACCGGCCTTTGGGTACAATGTCACCGTCCGTACGGCCAACTAGCTTCACGCACAGTTTGTCGCCAACCTTCTGATCACCATAGGATTGCTTGTTGACAAGGACAAACTCTTTACCGCCATTCAGAGTTTTCTGAACTTCAGCAACCCACACCTAAAAGTATGATAGTTGAAAATACGTTACATGTCAACCTTTTTTGTTACTTGGGAACACATGCATAATTAGGTCTCTACCAGGACTTCCGGTATAAGGTACGAAGTACGGTCTACTACTGGAGTACGTCCACCACCAATGAGCTCTGGTGTGCCAGAAACATAAAAGTAGTCGACAGCAGGGGGCATATTTACATACCTAGTAGGTTGTCAAGGACACCACGAGACGGATCTCAACAACCAGGACAGCTCTCCGTGACTTAAACGGAAGACAAGATTAACCAGAGCTCCTCGTCGGAGATTCTGCTGTTCTTACACGTCATCTTCAGAAGGTCAATACAAATAATTGAAAGCGTTCTGAGGCAACTGTTATGGTTTGTGTTCCTTCTATTAAGGAGATTTACTGCATTCAGGTACTTGGTTAGTAGTATGGCTTCAAAAACTAAATTTTGTCACTCGTGTGTTAATCATTCACGCGGAATACAACTTACGTCCAAGTGATTGATGTGATGGTCAAAGATGGCGTGAGCTGTCCAGTGTTGCAGGTTTTTAGTGATAGGCTCGCAGAACTCAGACTTGAAACCACCATCCCAGTGATCGGTGATGGGAATATCCATGGCAACGACAGATGAGATGAGAAGCAGAACCGCGAGAAGGAACATCATGATTCTTAAAACGAAAAACGGAAATATATGTTAACATGAATACTTGACCTACGCTTATTCTCTCTCTTTGGTCAGTACACGTGGATGTCATGCCGAGCGAGAAATATAGGTAAACGGTATATGTGATTGTAAATCTATCACTGTTGCACAAAAGCAGTTGTTCTCATCGAAAAGTACATCCGATGATCAACAGGCAATATGAACATCAGGCCATTTCACATTCTTCAATATGTTCCCCAACATCGCACACTTACCTATTTCAGGTCTGTCGTGCTGTCCGTCTATCTTCCCTATCTTCCCGAGATATGTAGACACTGATTATATAGGCCTCACATGACGTTACATATACTGATAAAGTACATGTTATGCAAGATGTGTTTATATATAAAGAAATAAGGACACACGTTCACTCCTGCATGTTTTAACCCTATCTTCGTAGAAAAATTACAGTTACATATAATTTTGTTACATAACTATATGATGATCGCGCATTATATAGTCTCCCCAAAAAAACCTCATATGTTATATTGATATATGAAATTTCGAATATTTTTCAAAATTAGTGTTTGATTTTTATAATTTGGTCATTATAATGCAAATGCACAGCGCAAAAACACATCTTCGGAAACTTAAATGTACGTATACGCCCGAAAGTGCCAAAAAAGGTATGCACTTGCAGTTCTTAGTAATCGAGTGCGGAGACATTGCCTTACAAGGCGTTTTGCTTTCAGACGGCCATTGGCATTTTTTAGCTAAATGAAAGAATACCGTTAAGTTCTGTGAGCCTATCACAGAATATCGACTCACTGCTGTAAATCGAAACATTGGACGTCCGGAGGCTGGGGTTGTACGTCACCTCAATGTTCACCAGAGTACCATCAGTTGGATATTGAAGACAACGCCCAACTGGGAACGGACGCCTTCTCTTGTTGAACATTTTACAGACTGCAGTAGTGGTTAGAGCGTCTGTGCGAAGAGCGGAAGGCCGCGGGTTCGATCCCCGGCCGCGTCATACCAAATGACGTATAAATATGGTACTTGTTGGTCCCTGCCTGGCGCTCGGCATTAATGGGTACAACAAGGACTGGTGGGCTCGGAGTCAGTTTAATGTGCTTGAGTGGGGTATTCATGCTTAACTGCGGCATGGTATCTCAGTGAGCTAGCACTATAAAACCAGCTTAAGTCCGGGCTAGTACAAGCAGCCACACATGCACACCCATGCACGTCGTCATATGAGCGAAATATTCTTAAGTACGACGTTAAACTCCCCATTTGACCTGAGCTCACCTCACCACATCACATCTTATATGTATAAGCTATACATGCTAACAGACATTTGATCCTTTATACTGTGAAATTTGGTTGCTACCGATACAGGATTACATGTGTTATCCCACTTTACATTCGGGAAAATACACCTAGGCGTTTTATTGTTGGGAGAGAAAATATAGCATTTTTTATATATGTCACACACACGTATATATGTGTGCGTTATATGCGCATGTTACTTTGTTTGGGGCCAGACCATTTTCTTTGACGAAAGTGCTCTATGTTGTACTGGAGAAACACAATTATTAGGTTTTACAATAACAGGGCTGCACACATTGTACCGAACTGGGGAATCAAATTACCGGTAATCAGAGAGACAAGCGAACGAATTTTCTATTAGCCTACCCTAAGGCCCTTTAACACATGATGGTGATTCGTGAACCATATGTGTTACACCGAGGCTGCCATTTACTTGTATCAACCATGACACAAACATCAAAGCTAACATATCGATTTGTTTTGACTAATGATTGTAGCTAACGATGTCACACACATCATATATACACATACCCACTGACCTCCATATACCTGGCCGTTAACTGATTATTGTGGTGTAGTAGGATTAATGTTGACGTATCTATGTCAGCAGAGTGACAATAACAATTATCATAGATGCCAATGTCAAATTGTTAATGATGCCATCACTTCCATCATGCCAATGATTCTTTTACTAGTACATTGATAAAATAATGCGAGCTACTTATAAGTGCGAAAAATGCGACTATATCTGAAGCTATATCTAATTGTTCCTTCACTATCCCTTTCAATTCTCCGTTCACTGATAGGTCCATCGGCTGTAACTCACAAGTGCACCCAGCCGGAACAAAGCGAACTTCAAAATGTTTCTTTTTCAAAGTTTGAAGAAACGATTCGCAACGAATGTCCTTGAGTTGTTAATGTCCAATTTGATACGGGGACGATTTTCATGCCAGTTTGATCAAAGTTTATTATGAGGTCAGCTGGGATCGACTTTGACGAAACTACTTCCCCTATTTCTGTAATGAACTCTTCCCGTTTTGTGTCATAATCAGATGGTAGTTTCCTGGCAGCATGTAACCGGTAGCTGGATCCGACAGGTCGACGCTTAGTGGCAGTACATTGATAAATGTGCTTCTATGTGTGAAGTAATTAGTCATGCCATCTGGCGGCAGACAGAACAGGATGTAATAAGCTGACCATAAACACGCCTTACTTTTGTACATCCGGTACATAGACTAAGTGTTAAAGTGGTTGGCAAGGGATAAAAGGCGCTTCAAAAATGCTTTGCACAGAAGGCTTGGTTGTGGATTTTGGGTACTAGTATAGTGCTAAAAGCTGCTGGTGTTATTGACTCTTGAACTGGTTTGTTGAATTCCGAGCGTGTATATGCGTCGGGACAGTAGGAGCAGTCTGCACAGCAAGCATGGGTTACACAAATATCACTTACGATGGGGCTAATCATTCGAGGATCAGTTTGGATGTTCCCTTGGCTGAAGTCATCAATGATACCGAGACAGAACCAGACTGGTTTGTGTATTACGGAATCCCGTACAACCCGTACATGAAGATCTACGGTATTTTCATCTTGGTCATAGCGTCTTTTGGGTTTCTTGGCAACTGTTTCACAATGGCGGTGCTGGGTCAGAAGAGTATGTCTTCAGTTGGAACAGCGTTGCTATTCCACCTTGCCGTCCCCGACAACGTCTACCTTGTCGCCGTGACCGTCCTGGACGGTATACTGTGGGTGAACCCTGGAACTGACTTCGTGGACCATATTGCCATGGTCTCCCAGTCCATACTGGCGCCCATCTCCCACACTGCATACACTGCGGGCATCTACATCACAGTCGCTTTGGCCCTTCAGAGGTACGTCATGGTTACCAAACCTTTAAAGGTCAAGTCTATGATGACCCGGAAAACTATCAGATGGGTTGTTCTGGCTATCTATACCTTTTCCATCCTGTTCAACATCCCCCACTGGATCGCCATGGCGCCTGAAAGCTACTGGGAACCCTATCTGAACAGGTCATGGCTTCGTCCACGAAACAGAGACTTTATGTTTTCAAAGTTCTATCTGAGGTACTACAGGGGGTACCTCAACATGGTCGTAAAACTAATTGTTCCTTTTGTGATATTCATAATAACTACTTCTCTGATTCTCCTGCACTTGTACCGATCCCGACATACCATTCGCAAGTCAGTAGCTAAGTCGTGCGGCAAGTCCACCAGTAAGCTGGGAGGAAGATCTGACGGCAAGTTCACACTCGTTGTTCTGGCTGTGACTCTGATGTCCATCGTGAGCCATTCGTCCACATCGCTGCAGTTCATATTCAAACTTTCAATTTGGCAAGGCAAGAACTGTAAACATGCTTGTATAGTATTTGGTAGAATCGGGAACGCTCTCACTGTGTGTAACTGTGTCTTTAATTTTGTTTTCCTTTGTGCATTCGGGAAAAAGTTTCGTGAAAATGTAAGTTCACTTTTCGGATCATGGAAATCATCTTTTTCCGTGACCCACGTGTCGTAAAGGTATTCACCTTGTAAATGATTATTTATTCCATAATTTGTTTGGCTATTGTAAGCATTGTAAATGATGATGTTACGACTTATGTCGGCATATCATGTTTTGGTTCTGCAGATAGTTTTTCTTGGTGGTAACATCATATTTTGTATATAATGTATCGATTTAGTGTCCCTTTGTTTATTATTACATTCTGTATCCAAAAATATTTGAACATCAATGTTGACAGCAACTTTAGTTAAGAGCGTCTTTGTTGACATGTTAAACTGTATGCCTACTTATTATATAGTATTACCAATGTAAACGTAATATAGTAATACAGGGGTGCAATACGGATGACGTGGTCAAATTCCGTATTGCACCCCAGATTCCGCATTGAACCCCTACCTGCCGCTATCTTTTGTTTTCTTAATAGCAGATTAAGGCAAGATAAGAGGGTATATAATAAATATAGAACGTCATACTAGTGTATTTTGATGTTTGTATTGAACTCGAAGATGTCATGAGAGCAGAGAAACAACTCGTTGTTTCTCTGCTCCCATGACATCTTCTCGTCACTAGTATGACGTTCTATATATATCCGCATTTCCGGGTTAGGTGCCGAGCCATGGGGCTGATCCTTCTTCATTTTGTTATAATGGCTGTGAGAATCGCTTGATCACACATTCCTGTGGTTTGGTCTTTGTGTGAGAACCATGCTCACTGCTTGACGTGTACGGATGTGTCCATTGACCCCGACTGCGTGTATTTCACGTCAGGTATTTAATAAATGTTTTGCAATTTGAAATTGTCTAGGTTTTCTGTAGTTTATCTGTTTTGATTTCGTGAAAGTGTGATGCAGATGGTATTTCATGCGGGTACAGTTCAGCTTTACATGAAGTTTAGACGTGTTTTGTTGAAAAGGACGTTTGTAGCTGAAGCGATTCAACCCTTTCAATAACATTAATGGGTATATTCTAACTGTAAAGTCCATTGTTCGATTACGACTATAAATATTTAAGCATGAATCACTATTACATAATGATGACACCGGGTGTTTGTAGATTGATGAATGTATCACGTCCTGCAGCCGGTAGCATCCACAAACACACGCCAAGGCAAGTAAATTAAACACAGGATGTTAAAAAAACATATCCTGAAAATACTGATATGGTATTAAATATTATCGTTAATCTCTCAAACAGGGATTAAGAGGTACGTTTGCTTGCCCATGTAAGTACGTCATTATTTTATTTCTCTGGAGCAGTGTCATCCAGTACGAAATAGGAATGAACACGTCTGCAACTTTTCTAGCCAAAGCAAAAGTCGGTAGCATTGAGGATGTTGTAAAAGGCTTCGGGACTGAAAGCCGCTTGTATATTCGTTCACGGATCTCGAAGTTTAACCACAAGCAGAGTGGAGTGAGTGAGTGAGTATTTCTTAATGCCGTGTCAGTAAATTAGCAGCTATTCGCGGCGATCACACAGTTACGAGCTAGTTGCGTAAAACAAAAAGAACGGACATGAAATACAAACACAAAACCACAACATAAAGACTGAAATCCACTTATTTGTGTATTGATGACATAGTGCACAATACCGGTAATATGTCATATAAGCGATGAATCATACCCTTAACCCACAATGCGAGGAGGGTCAATGTTTTCAGTGGATAGGACAAAGTTCTTGAAGTAGGCGTAGCAGTCCCTCGTCGGGGCCCAGCTCGAAGTACTGCCTCCAAAGAAGGTGGAGAAAAATATCCCGTCAATTAGTATGTTGGGGTTGTTTCTGAAGTTGACGTTGTTGATTTCATAGACACTGTAGCCATTATACCAAATCTTGGCAAACCCGTCCGTCTTCCCGGGAGTGTTGAGGGTGATGTGTTCTGTAATGGTCTGCCACTTCCCTTTCTGGAACCTCCAACTCCCTCTCCCCAGGGAATTGCCGTACTGGAAGTTGCACTGGACTTCATGGCAGAAAGTAGACACCTGTTGAGAGGGAATGTAGGCATATATCTCGCCATCCCCGTTCACCCTCCACATCAGCCGGGCCGTGAAGCACGTGTCGGAATGCTCACCCCCGGAACAATTCACCCAGCCTCCAAACAGTCCAGGCAACTTACCTCCTTTGACGAAGTCAAAGTTAGGGTCAAAGAAAAGGTCATAGCTAAGGGTCAAGGCCTTCTGTGGAGCAGCAGGTTTGGCGTAGAATCCAAGACCCCGGTGATTATGGAGTCCGACGTATTGGCCTTTTTCGTAGAACACCCGAAGAACCTTATCGCCCCCTCCAGCAGGGTCATCCACAACTGACCCAGAGCCTTCGTCCCACTGACCGTCGGCCAGGGCTTTCCAGTTGTTCAGGTAGTTGTTGGGGTCGAAAGACTTCAGTTCCCAGAGGACGTGACCTATATAACATCAGGGAGTGAGTGAGTGAGTGAATTTAGTTTACGCCGCACTCAGCAATATTCCAGCTATATGGCGGCGGGTCTGTAAATAATCGAGTTTCGACCAGACAATCCGGTGATCAATCCAGTCGCCTCTAACGACAAGCATGTGTTACTGAAGATCGATTCTAACCCGGATCTTCACGGATCTAACAACATGTCCTCATCATTTCACAGTATCCTGATGTTCGTCTTTCTGTACACGTACATTTATTGATGTCCTCTGATATAAACCGTTTTCTTTCCATCAGGGCAACAGTACTACTTCTTTGGATAATTGGGTCACTTTTACATTTGTTCCAGAATTTTCATTTTCGGAATTGTACTTGGCATAACAATAAGACTATTCTCCTACGTTTATCTGCTGTTTCTATTTGGTTAAGGACTGCGATGGTGTTACAACTACGTTCTTCTGCTGTCCCGTCAGTTGGGTAATTCTTAACCAAACTCGACCAAGTTGTTTGCTTAAAATCTACAAATAAAACTGGATGGTCACAAAGGTTTCTTCACTGACCATTGCGGGGTGTAAAACAACTTCACAGGTATTGTCTACATAGTTTGCAGCAAGCCGAGCACTGACCCTATGGTAATCTGGTGTGGGAGTAGGTCCGTTCACCCCTTCAATGTAGAACTGTATGCTTGAGGGTTTCTGGCCAGTGTAGTCCACCATGAAGTGACCACAGTACTTGCTACCCGTGGTCAGTTCGCCATGGCGGGGAGTGTGCTCTATCACATACTCCTTCCCGTTGTCCATGGACTCTATCACAACTCCAGAGTAAAACTGTGGATACAGTTAATGTACGTATTAACTCAATTGGTTCATGTTGGTACAACAGCTCTCACCATATCTAGACAACATGAAACAGGAACAATTGTTGACTTCATGCGTAATGACGTCATCATACAATTGTTGACTTCATGAGTAATGGCGTTCATTCACCATTGTTGATTTCATGCGTGATGACGTCATCATACAATTGTTGACTTCATGCGCAATGACGTCATCATACAATTGTTGACTTCATGAGTAATGGCGTTACTTCACCATTGTTGACTTCATGCGTAAGGACGTCATCATACAATTGTTGACTTCATGGGTAATGACGTCATCATACAATTGTTGACTTCATGCGCAATGACGTCATCATACAATTGTTGACTTCATGAGTAATGGCGCTACTTCACCATTGTTGATTTCATGCGTAATGACGTCATCATACAATTGTTGACTTCATGCGCAATGACGTCATCATACAATTGTTGACTTCATGAGTAATGGCGTTACTTCACCATTGTTGACTTCATGCGTAAGGACGTCATCATACAATTGTTGACTTCATGCGTAATGACGTCATCATACAATTGTTGACTTCATGAGTAATGGCGTTACTTCACCATTGTTGACTTCATGAGTAATGACGTCATCACATCATTGTTCATTTCGTGAGTAATGACGTCATGACATCATTGCTGGCATCACAAACCTTGTGCTGATCAGTTGAATATACATGTTCGTTTGAGACTACATATATCTATTGTTCTCGTTTTCGTTTATATATATAATCAGGTGCTGCGCATTCGCAGAGCTGTCATTATAATGTCACCAAGAATGGTAGCAGAGCTATGATGATAACGTCACCAAGAATGGTAGCAGAACTGTCACAATTAGATTTTCAGCGTGGAAGAGAATCACGGAAAGTAGAAAATAGATTAAAAGTGGGAAACTACTGTACCTGCATGTTGTTGGTTGGTTGGTCAAAGAATAGATGTCCCCGCCAGTTGATGACGTCATGCGTGACGGACAAGCAGAATTCCGACTTGATGGTGTTCCCCCAGGTCTTGGTGATGGTAAGGTCCATCATTCCTGACACCCAGGGGGAGGTGAACATGGGGAGGAGGAAGAGACTGATCCACAACATCCTGAGTGAGTGAGGGAGTGATTTTTACGCCGCTTTTCGCAATATTGCAACACTATCATGGCGGGGGATACAAAAAATGGTCTTCACATATTTTACCCCAAATAATACTGAAGAGTTACCATTTTGAACTATTACATATGGACAATAGCAGTCATGGATCAGTTTGAAAACGTCTCACATACGTCAACCATGAACATATGTGACTGTGTAGTGTAGTGTAGCGAAGGCTTCCACCAACACACCTTCTGCCAGCACAGACAACAACATGGCACCTGTGCCATCGTCTTGACTCAATGCTTCTTTACCACGCAACGGTACGGCTGGCATTGAATTGGGTCATTTGACGTGCGCGCGTTAGAAGCTGACGAACTGAACAGACTACACAAACACACGATACAACTACAAATGCGCATTTGGTCTTTAGGATTTGTCATGAAGGCATTATTCATATTATTTTATCTAAAATACATGTATTAAATTTATCAGTTTCCTGATTAACTACATGTAACAGTACATACGTGACTTGCAGAGTGGTAGCAGCACGCAGATATATTCAGTGTGGGATTTCACGGGCTGTTCAGGCCACGTGCACAGATACTGATAGTAATGCTACGTTGTATAATACTTTCTGGAAAACTACGCGAGGAACGTGAGATTACCATAATATGCGTATGAAGATTCGCCATAAACAGTTGAGCATGCTCTTGAAATCCATCCTACCCTCAGCTGAACACAATCTTTTCGCTTGGAAACCAGCAAGGGCAGTTTTCTATAGATTCCTAGAAGGGACATTGTCGCGTTGTCGCCCTCTCAAAAACAAGCACAAAGAATGCAAAATTAACCAAAGCGCAACAATGCGACAACGCGACATTTCGACCATTTGTCGCATTGTCGCATTGTCGCTTTGTCACATTGTCGAGCTTTGGATAATATTTTTCTATTCATTTTCAAGATTAAAATATGTCCCGTTGTCGAGTTGTCACGTTGTCGCCTTTTTCGATTACCGGTGCGCATGTGTAGAAAGTCAGTTAGTCTACGCATGCGCAGAAAAAGCTATACTCTATTTCAGACTTCAGTGGTCCTTTGTTCCCTCCAGTGGTTTTAAAACTGAAGAAGTACTTGTAATGGCAATGAGAGGCCGCTTTTCTTGAGCTTGATACAACTCTTTCATTGCTGTTTTGAAAATTATTTCATATATTGTCAATGTTGGTGTATTTAGCCAATCAAACGTGTTTTAGCAACAAGACAAATTCTTTGCGCTTCTGCATTGTAATGACGTCACATGGTGGCCCTGTCATTTTAGACGGGACAATTCGCTGTGCACGGTTGCCACTCTTAGTCGCATCAGAAAGCTATGATACTAGGTTCGAATCCCAGCACCATACACATTCTTCACTTTGGACATATCTCCAATATCAAGCTGACAGGCTGTGAATTAACTGAAATATTGTTCAAGACGGCGTTAAAATCCAGGCCACATCAGCATAGACACCAGGTGAAGTTCTCGAATACACTCAAGGCCAAACGAAAGTGGCTCATTTTAATTTTGATATATGAAATTTATTCAAAATTGTTGAAAATTATTTTCTTTTATTTAACAATCGCCAAAACACACCAATAATGTTGTCATTAGGAAAAGTTGACTTCGAGCTAAAAAATCGTGAAATTTGTGCAAATGGTGAAATACACGTTTTTGAAGGATAGAAGCGACACTACGTCAGCCAAATGAGGCATTTAACGACCGTTGGTATAACACAGACGTTGTGAAACAGGAAAACACTTTAGATATGCCTAGACTTACTTCAGAACAGCGTGAAAGAGTTATAGGAATAATAAACATGGGAGCTTCTCATGCCCATGTCGCAAGAACGTTTGGTTGTCACAGACATACTATCAATAGACTTATTAAACGTTTCAATGAGACTGGCAGCACTGTGGATCGACCAAGGTCAGGTAGACCAAAGGTCACTACCCCTCAGGAAGACCAATATCTACGAATTCTACATCTGAGGAATCGGTTCCTGACAGTTTCGGAATCGGCATCAACGGCACTCGGTCGAGTTGTCAGCAGACACCCAGTTAGACGACAATTCCGTGGAACAATGCTGACACGTCAACATCGCCTGAATAGGCTGATCTGGGCACGTCGTGTTCGACGATGGCAGCTTCGTGATTGGCGTAGGGTTCTATTCAGCGATTAGAGTAGGTTTTCTTTATACCACAGAGACGGTAGAGCACGTGTATATCGCCGTCGTGGTGAACGTCATGCCCCGCCATGCGTTATGGAGGTTCAGGCTCATAGTGGCGGGAGTGTTATGGTTTGGGGAGGTATCTGTGGCGAAATGAAGACACAATTGGTCACAGTTCAAGGCAACCTGACAGCACAACAATACATTGACCAGGTTATTCGTCCAGTTGTGTTTCCTTTCGTTAATCAACACCAAAGGACATTATTTCAACAAGACAATGCTCCTGCACACACAGCTAGGATTGTGACATACTTCATGGGAACCAATAACATCAACGTTTTGCCTTGGCCGTCTCTTTCCCCCTGACCTCTCACCAAAAGAGCATCTCTGGGACTTTCTGGGCAGAAAAATCATAATGAGACTAAACCCTCCAGCAAACCTGAGACAACTGGAACAGGCCATTCATCATGAATGGAGGAATATCCCAAATGCCTTCATCAGACGTCTCACAACGTCAATGAGACGTCGAGTACTTGCTGTATCAATGCAGAAGGAGGACACACAAGATACTAAGTAATGCACACCTAAACGTTGACAAATCTGGAGTTCACAGATAGTGTTCAACACAACTGAAAACATGTAACTTTGCTTTTTGATACCAGTGTCATTTAATTAAATGTTGCTTGACCATTACTTCATGTTTGATGTTGTAATAACCTCCGGATATTTAGCAAGTGGCCTTACTATCAACATAAATAGATATGAAATCTTTTGAAATTTTTGTCTGTGTTGATTTTTATTAAGATTTTTAGCACAGGCAGCTTTCTTTTGGCCTTGGGTGTAGGTGACCATGTTCGACAGTTTGGCTCTTGAGAGAGTTTCTTGAGACAGTCCTGTGTCACGCTGATGAACTTGTCTGAAATGTGGCTCTGTTCAGCCAGGAGTGGATAGAAAGCCGGGTAGAATGAGATGGTAATATGACTTAAGCATCCAACACCTCAAAGACAGCTTAGGTCGCACTCTCCCATTGGGAATGAGAATTGCCGGTGTTTTAAAGGCTTGGAACGTGATATTCTGATTGGAATGAGTGTGTGAGTGAGTGAGTTTGGCTTTACGCCGCTTTTAGCAATATTCCAGCAATATTCCCGGCGGGGACACCAGAAATGGGCTTCACACATTGTGCCCATGTGGGGGAAATCGAACCCGGGCCTTCAGCGTGACGAGCGAATGCTTTAACCACTAAGCTACCCCACCGCCCTTTCTGATTGGAAAAACGCCATACAAATGGGCTGTTTTGATTAAATGTCGCGTTGTCGTTGTAAAGATGAAGTCTGTTTGTGCACGTATAATAAAGTAATGAAGGAATGCGCATGCGTGCTTATGCCGCCATTAGTTGTTAAGTAGTCTTAAACTCTCCGTTGTAGATGTCCGTCCAGACATTAGTCAAATGTTTTCTTTTACCTCATTTCAAGGTTGATCGAAGCCTTGAAATACGTCAAACTCTCACGGAACCTAATTCCTATATGTATATGGCATAGACAAATGATATACGTGCTGGGTTTTTTTTATATCATATTTAATGTGTTCTTCTGTGACCTGAATTAAGTGGTTTTGAATGCACGGATACCGATAACTTATATATATGTTATTTCAAATAATCAATTACTTAATATGATTCGATCGGCATTCTAGAAGCTGGTGAATCAATACTGAGGCACATGACGTTATGGACAACAACATCCTGTTTAATGCATAGGTCACGTTTGAGTGTAGACTCTTACACCATTATCAAGCTAATAGTGACTACAGCCAGGTAATGAGAAGTATGACAAACAGCAGATTAACATTAACAACAGCATGTAATAGAATAACAACTGGCACATAATTGTCAGATAGGAGAGGATGGTGATTCAGGGCTTGGTCAATTTGGGTTTGGGGCTCGAGTGTGGTCGAGATTTTCCTCTTGACAAACTCTTAGTAGAGTACTGGTTGAGGTTAGTAAAGCCATGCTGATGGTGATAAAGCTCATGTTCTAGGTCATGGCTGCTGGAACTAATTTTCTTGGCGCTTTACGTCAGATTTAGTTTTAGTGAGAATGTTTGGAGTTGAAATGAATGTACCGGTCAGAATGGATGGTCTTTTTTCTGTAGAGTGTGGTTTGGATGCTGCTACCGGGGTCTCTCGATACAAGGGACGCACACAACTATATCCAAGTGAGTGAGTGAGTTGAGTTTTACGCCGCACTCAGCAATATTCCAGCTATATGGCGGCGGTCTGTAAATAATCGAGTCTGGACCAGACAATCCAGTATGAGCACCAATCTACACAATTGGGAACCGATGACATGTGTCAGCCAAGTCAGTGAGCCTGACCACCCGATCCCGTTAGTCGCCTCTTACGACAAGCGTGGGTTACTGAAGATCAATTACCCACGCCCACACAACCAAGCAAGGCTGTACCAGACAACTGCTGCATGACAATAGGAATGGAAAATCGAACACATTACCCGTTGAAAGTGCTGCATTTAACGTGAAAGTGTTGTCCTTGTAAAACATCTCGAGAACTGCTGAAAATATCCACTTATAAGAGACAGCAATGTGTAATGTGTGAAGAAGAGATGCTGGTGGATGGTCTGGTGCGTCAAAGCACTTGAATGGCACCTGAAACCCTAATGTTTCTGCTATACAAAATTGTTAGCCCTTACAAATAATAGCACAGGTGTCGACACTGGCTACCTGGAGTTTAACTTCCCTGTCACCATTGCTGAATGAATACAGACAAATAAATGCGTTTTTCTTGACATTTAATTACGAAGCTGCTGGTCTCACGGACATATTTCCCTGTACGTTGTAGGGAGCTGTTGAACCAGGGACAAATGCTCCAACGCTGGAATGAGAAAGATGTGATCAACAACCCAACAACACTGTGGAGAAGTTTATTGTCTGTAACTTTAAGTCTACGTGACTATGTATCATCAACACTGTACATAAATATATCCAAGCGCCATGGAACGGCTAACAGTAAGTGGTCTAGCAAGCATGGGCTATATGAATTATTGGGAGTATTACTGAGTATAGTATAGAATATGATTATACAATGCCATTTAGGAAGTGGTCAAATGTCATGTTACATTTGGTATTACACTTTCTCATTACAGTATAGATTCTAGTACTTTTCTTGGGTTGAGTCCTTATTCTCATAAATAACCACGATTGACATGAGGCAAGTTAATTACGTTTCAGATCACTACTCTAACTATAAGTTCTTCATGCACGAACAACAACACGCACCTGCTGTCGAGGCGTGCATGCCGGCGTTGTAATCGCACGCCACCTCGTTTTTGACGTAGTCTTTTCTGTCGTCGGTGTAGCTGTCGTCTTTGCCGGGGCCGCCCACCATTGCGCCGTACAGCGTGTGGGGATTGGGCCCCTTGTTGGTCTGAGACTCCCAGGTGCACGGGGCCGGCAACATAGGGCATGAGCTGAAACACATTGACCGGAAGTGTCATTGGATCATTCTGATGTTGCAAGGGTACTTCATCACCAAGTCATTTGGATTTGGGACGCATGAACTAGATTGGGTTTTGTTTATTGTGCCAGTATGTTTTGTCACAATTTTGTCATGTTTCTGTCATCCCTGTCCAATTCGCCATGGACGTGAATGTTTACAAGACACTGTACTCACCGTGACAACAATACTCAACTCGACTTCTGTTTCCTGCAATACTCGAGCGCCTGATGGCGTAACCATATCAATCCAAAAAATGCAATTATCAGGATTGACAACGGCATCGAAAAAACTGTATCAAAGTGTCGCACTCACGAAACAAAAGAATTGGTTTGCAATATTGTTTGTCAATATTGTATTCTCATTTTGTAAAATGCCACACAAAGAAGAAATCCTCAGGAAAGTTTCCAGAAGAAAGTTCAACTATAACAATATTTTGATTCGCTCGTGTGAGGCTGTAGTTTGGCAATGGGCCCGCACCGAGTTCTCCTTCAGAAGGGTCATTATGCTTGACTGATGAATTCCACCAATCACTGAGGTGGGTTGATTATAAGCGACTTGTTGGAACTGGTGATGCCTTAGTTGTCAATGGTTGATGGTATCTATCATAGCAGGATGAACATAGCCAAACACCCTTCTGTCGAAACTAGAATAACCTACGGAATTAATCCCTGCATCGATCCAGCCGAAAAACACATGAGTAAAGAAAGAAAGGAACTGGCCACTTGACGCTTGTAAGGCAGCCTTGTTTGGTGTTTTTCGTTGCTTCGGACCGACCATCGCAGCAGTGGAGATGATATAGACACAAGCAATGACACAAAGACACAAACAAGACACAAGCAAGACTTAGACACAAAGACAAACACAAGACGCAAGCAACGACACAAAGACACAAGCAATGAAACTATACCTGGCCCTATGATGTGGATTCTTTGGAGGGTTCACTCCGTAGCCAACAATGTAGCTTCTTCCAGTGTCGCCGTAGACGTAGTGGAGCTGTGTCATCGCCCACTTCCGGTACAACTCGGTGTTGATGCCGTCATCAGCGGCGACCAGTGCGATGAAGGCGGTGTTAGCTGGAATAGATTGGCATGACACACAGCGTAAACACCGTAATCTAAAGTCTGGTGGTGAATCCTTGTGGCGATGACCTTATTTGTCATGCCTTTTTCAAAAGTCCTAGTTTGGTTTAATTACTTAACTGGGAAAGGGAACGTGTGTCCCTAAACGTGATGTTGCGGTGAGAGTAGCAAAAAGATACTGACTTGACACCGGCGACAAAAGAAATACTTACTGAAAATTAATGAAACTATGTCCATACAGAAATCCTCACACGATTATGTTCAGGAATACAAACCAACTCATGAAACTGGGTGAATTGTACAGCAAAGTTGCTGTTATTTTACGGTGGTGTGTAAATAATAACTCGGTCTGGACAATCCAGTGCATCAGTTCACGACTCACGACTCACGAGACAATAAAATGTCCGTACAATGTTGCAGCAACTTACAAGCATACCGAAGTGCCCCCCACTCCAGTCTGAACGCCATGCACTTGGGGCTATACACGATCTCCTTGCCCCCAGGAAACCACATCTTGAACGTGTCTTCTATGTGACTCTTGTACAGGTCTTTCTTTGTCGCCTCGTACATCAGTACCTGTGGAGATTAACAGTGGTTTATTAATGGGAGCATGACTTCTTTCATGGGCATTTTAGAAGTTGAGGCGATGAAGAATGATGATAATATTATGGATATACAACTTTTTTGTTCTGTGGAAGGCGACGTTTCGACATAGATTCTTATGTCGTTGTCATCACTTGCTTGACATAAAATTATCATCATGCTGAATGGTCGCATGGTCAAGTAACTAAAGGTTTGTTTGTGGAAACATTGTGAAAGTTCCTTCTATGTGTGCTCTCTGCAATGGATAGCTGATACCAATAAAGCCATGGTTGATTCTGTATGCTTGCAGTCCTTTGAAGCCGAGGCCCACACACACTATTTGTATATACTGTTACAGTGTCAGTAAAGGTTTCCAACGTTGTACCGAATCTATCTTACTTCTCTCTGTATGCATTGTCTTTATCGTGATACAGACGTTGTTATCCATAAACGTCGTGCCCGTATAATATTGATTATACTTAAAATTTGAATAATTATAATATTATGATTTCATTACTGAATCCTAATATCGTCATTAACTCCCCGGGTTTGCCTCACCTACACCATATTCAGCTCATCTTTACTGTATTGCAAACCCACAAGACTGGCCTCGGGTTGTGTGTCTCCCTCGACAAAACACATTTCTTTGAATCCCGTATACTACTTTACACAGATCACAAAGAACTTAGAAAAGGGTGCGATTTCAAGATTGAAAAATGAAATATAAATTGAAAATTGTTTATGCACCAGTATTCACTGTTGATGTGAAATCTGTATACTGAATACGGTTACCCCACTACTGTGTATACACTCTAAATAAACCCCAAATCCAGGTTACAGATCTGGGTTTAACAGCCTCCAAGTAACTGGTCGAACAACCAACAACCAAGTATCCCAAAAGCAGCGTACATTGACTTCCTGCATAAACATTCCCTGGAAATGTATTTCACCAGCAGTTGCCTTTCAAATATATACTTTAGTGTAAACGACTCTTCACCTTAACTCCCTGCATGACCAGTCATTATTTGGCCACGATCCTCCTTCCTTACGTGGATTCAAACACAGAAAACTGCAATCACGTGCCTAAGGGAGATAACTCTCATTTTTCTATATTTTTTGTTTGATGTGCGTATTTCTTTTGTTCGATTTTAATCTTAAAATGTGTTGCTCCAGTTGAAAGAATGTATTCACTGTGAACGTTGTGTATTGTAGTATTGAGGGCAAGAAGGGCAGTCGTGTTTCAATACAGCTGTTGATCCGAGAAGTGGCGTGAATACTGCTTTACATACGTTAGCGCCATCTATCTTCTCGTCCCAGGAGAAGCCCCAAGCGGACTTGTTCAGGAAGTGTTGCTCGGCGTAGTCCAGATACTGCTTGTCCCCTGTGGCCTTGTGCAGCCACATCCCGCCCCAGCTGTTCTCGTCAGCATCTGACTGGGAGCTGAAACATCCGGGATGCTGCCTGACTAATACATACATGGCACCGTTGATACATGTGACAGTTTACTGAAACACTTTACCCATAGACGTGGCAGTTTACTGATACACGTGATACTTTACTGATCAATAGAGAGAAACCCTCCACTTGGTGATGATTTACACCATATTTTTTTAGTTTTTATAAGATTTGATAAGATTCAAATTTGATCAGATTCATTTTGATGATTTGTCGCATTGTACAAAGAACATGTTTTTAAATTAATTTAATCTTTTGCACCTGAATAACATATCATGTTTGATTAACAGGTGGTGATAGATTAACTGGTGTTCACTGTCATCGATTTATATACCAGTGTGTAGCCCAGGGTTAGTGATAGTAAGTGCTTTGTGTATCGATTGTTCGTGCATTGTGTGAACACGTGGTTGTAGTACTTGTGTTTAACTCCCTGTAAATGTCCAGGGTGCCATTATGCAAGGCGATATTAGTGCTCAGTTGATCACAACTCCCATACCTTAACAAAAAAACATGCTGTATTCAGTCAAGTTTGTTTTGTACACTGGCACGCCTGTTGTATTGGTTGGTTGTATTGTGTTGTGCTTAAGAGTATTTGTCTCACGTAAACTAGTGGTTGTGGGTGTACTTGTCGCCTCGTCGTAAGTGAACTAGATGTACGTACGTGTAAAAGCCGGCAGCCGCTGAGACGCTGGCACTGTACTTGCCCTGGTGAGCTTTGGCGAACTCAAACAGCTGCTGGGCGTGTTTCAGCAGGGTGGCCGAGTAGGCGGGGTCTGGCAGGACACGAACAGAGAACATCTTTAAGCAACTTTTTCCAAACCTCAATGATAATTTCAAATACTTACGTTGTCATTGGGATGATATATAACGTAAACGCCAGAGACTGACCAGTGCTGATTATCCATCAGGTGGAAAGGCCACTATGACTGTGATATGATATAGATAGATCCCCAGTATGCCACCAGATGAAGAGGGTAAGCATGGCCTGCACTTCAGGTATCATCACCACTCTGCCACGGCCTGATCGTGAACGTGTGACTTTCACAGGAATCAGGGATGACAGAGGCCATCATGCTTCACACAATGACAGTGAATTCAATACATCACAAACAGACCAGGAGACAATGATAACACAATCCTTTCAACCTGAAATCAAATTCGACTGTTACTGCCTTGTGATAAGCGTTATCGTTCAAGAATTATTGTAGAGGAGCAGAAATGTCTCTGTGATTGATGTTCCCAACATTGCCTGCGTAAGAGCGAACTGTGTAAGTGAGTGAGGGAAGTGTTGGAGAAAAGCCTGGAGGCAGGTCTCAGATGTTTACGACGGGTGAGCCCCATGAGGATTGAGGTAACAAACCCAGGAATATTGTCAGAGCGACCCAGGATTCAAACCCAAGGGACGCAACTCTGCATGGGGAATTGCACTGCCTTAAACCGCCTGAGGCCAACTCATGCTTCCGCGAAACAGAGAAGGTGTTGACACATCTTTGACACATCCACAGGAACTGAACCATGCCCATTTTCACAAAACCATGGTGAAGCTGCGGCAAACGTTACTCCAAGTCTGAGCGGACACTAGCCACCTCCACGGTATCTCTGTGTACGCGGTACTAATAATGGCGTGAGAAATTCATATTGTCTGCTCATTTACCCTTCTTCTTATCACCATATCGTGAAAATCTCAAATTGTTTGCCCTTCATTGCCAATAGGGAATAGCCACATCTACGGTAACTTTGTGTACGTGATACCAATGATGATGGGATAACTTATGTTGTCTTTTCATGTACCTTTTATCTTGAAGGCGATGGAACCGGCGGCCATGGCAGCAGCTGTCTCCATTGCGAGGTCGGATCCAGGCTTGGAGGCGTCGATTTTGTAGGCTGGTCTCGGTTCTGTCATGCGCTCGGGACTGGTCCATGTTCCATGGTCTGACCCGCCGTTTCCAACCTGTTATATAGGGTTGGAACTTGCTGATTTGGAATTCAATGCAAATGAAAGATAACTAATAGGCAATAAAGAAGAATACGTTGGAATCGCATTAAGTAGAATATTTAAGTATTTTAAAATGCATTTCAATGCGTCCGATACAAGCGAAATATTCATGGAAATGCAATGTATGACGGGGTCACAGCAAGTTATTGTCATAGAGTAATATTAGTGTTACAAAATCGGGAATAGTTTGGTCCCATAAACACGTTATTAACTTAATATTAATATTTAGGTTCCACCGAAAATGTTACTGTGCTCATTCCTATATGTTAAAATGAACATTATAAAAGAAGGATACTCAAAACATTTAACCTAGTTACACATTAAACGTGTGGGGGCAAATGTGAGTGTTTATGGAGGCACCTGTGCGTAGAGTTCGTTAGGCTTGGTGTGGCACTTGATGAAGTAGTCCAGAGGCCACTTGATGCATTCATACATCTTCTCCAGTTGACCCGTCTTCTCGTAGGCGTCCTTGTACCTGATGAGACTCCACGTCAGGAGGGTCGTGCTGAACGCCATGGGGAAGTTGAATTTGACGTTATCGCCAGCTGCGAAAAGATGTGTGTAATGAATAACTCCATGTGTGTGTATTAGAAGATACATGTATTCAGGTAAGGATGTCATCTGTGGGATGGTCACTTTGATTGAATTCCCACATTCAGCATCATACGAAGACGAGGTTCAGGCGACGGTAAGCTGTATGCTGTTGTGGGCCTCTATATCTTTAACTGAATTGGCTGAATATAAAACGTCAGTACTGGAGGATATTAGTATTCAGTCTCGACGAAACAGATTCAACAGGGTTTAAAAGTAAACGAGAACGGGAAGTGGGAAAATCATGATACCAATGGCTCAGTGAAGATTAGTAAAAATGCCAGCTCAAGAGACGTCATTCAAGTACATACTAATGGGGATCAAACATCACTTTATTATTGCTCAATCATGTAAATATCCGTAATATTAGACACCAAAGATGATTAAAGTAAGGGTGTAGTCAGTCCACTTCTAACACTTCTGAACCTTCAACCCTTTGAGGTTCTGGGTTAAAACACAGGAGGATGCCGTTGTACAGAACAACCTTGACTAAGGCTTGACCAACCTTAACGTGGGAAGGATACTTTGTTGCAACCTTAACTGAGGTAATCTTGTTTTGTACAACGGAACAAAGATCCTCAGCAATCAATGCTGCATGGGTAGGACTTTGGTTGCTGCCGTGTCATCCACTACAAGCTGAAGTTTCGTGACATGTGAAACAACCTCTGTTCCTGGATACAAAACATCCCCTCCAACTCAGGATAAAACAATTAGCTCACCATCATACCATCCCCCCGTGAGGTCTTCCCCGTTGGCCCCCTTGTCGTTAAGGGCGGAGTCCCCCCTCCAGGGGATCCTGTTGTCAGGGGGGAGTTTCCCGGATCTCTGAGCCTCGTAGAACAAGATGGACTTCATCAGGATCTCACCGTAGTTGTACTTGGTTTTCTGGGCACCTAGGCACAGGGAAGACCGATACTCGTACTAATGTCAAACTAACATATGGAGTAATTGGTCTCGATGGAAGATGTTTTCAGTATTTTCAAAATTACCAAACAACCTTTTAATGCTAGAGAACTGATGCCAAATTCGAAGGAAGCATTGAAAGAGCATTTACCTGTTATCACGGGAAGATGTGGCAGCGTTTGTCCGTCGTTGGTGACGTCCACAAGAACCCCAGTTCCTGCCGGAACGCCGCCACCACAGACGTTGCCAGACATCTTGATACAGTACTGAGCTCCTCCATAGTGGATACCCATGTAGTCGTGGTTGACCATGGTGAAGCGCTTGCCGCACGACGACGAGTCTCCCAACACATCCCCCTCTGACGTCTGAAGCAGTGAATGAGTTTGGACTTGCACAAAACATCCTTTTTATATTTGGAGGCGCGTAAATGCGACCAGTTGAACAGAAGTTATAATTGCGAATGATGCATTACGCTGTCGTACAGACCGTTTGGACATCAAGGATCCTGCCTCAGATAGGGGACACTATTACGCATGATCAATTTAGGGGCTGTGGACCACAGGGCTGACTGTGATACTGATACCTTACACAAACATATCACCATTATTTGTATTTAAATAATACTGTATATATCAATTTGTCATCATTCAACCTGACTTCAACTGTGTAGGATTGAGCTTCCTATGCTACCTACGTACACAGTAAAATACCATGCCGAAATATCAGTTGTCACAATCAGCATGATTATAATTATCTTAACAATTGTTAATTATGATGCATAAAGTTACTTTGGTCCGCCATGTGCTCAGGGCATACTTTTTTAGAAATCATGTTGAAAAGTGTTCATGTATGCCTTTACATCAGTTCAAATATAGACAGACATGTGAGAAGATCACGCTGACACATTGTTTGTCTTTACTTCAGGTTTATGTAAAGACATGTAAAGTTCCTCACGGAGATTCCCTTCACATCCGAGGTGAAGACCAGAACCAGCTCCCACGCCACGATCTCATCCTTCAGGTCGAAACAAACCTGCCCCTCCCACATGTCCCCACGGTGAGTGATCACAGTTAGGGGGGCGGTCAGGTTGTGACCCACGTGTTCTGGTTTTAGACCAGCTAGAAAACACAAATCATCATTTATTGGTACCCGCACATACGCACACACACGAACGCTTGCGCGCACAGAGAGAGAGAAAGTTTAAAATTTTATTGTATTCTGACCAATGACAAAATATTTTACGATGCTTCAATAACTTCATGGCCGTGGCCAGAAAGGTTTGTGAGTTTGACACCGACGCACGTGTGCACCAATGTATTTTCAGTAACAGGTAATATTTGTTAAGTTTTCTAATTATTCAGCTCACTGTGATATATTCAATCTAGTTCTAAACATTATAAGATAGAGAAGTCGTACTCACCTGTTGGTGCAGGTGGAAGTGTGATTGGTGGCCAGGCTGAATATACATACATGATCACGTTGTCAGCAACATATAAGCAATTATAAATGGAGTGATTCCAGGAGAAAAGAGTAACCATGATGAACTAAACTGAAGCGAGTGATCAGATCCGGTTGTCATAGTTGTTCATTATATCCATCACTGGTTTGTCTGCTCCAAAATCGCATATCTACGTAATTATTAAAAAAAATTACAAACCTGAATGCGGCGTTAAACAGCCACGTGGCGTTCTTACATTACTATATTCACTAACACATATACAAAAACCGGAATCTTTTTTTCATCTTTTTCAAAATGACTCTGCAGTTACTGTTTTAACGACATGTTTCATACATCGATATGAAGCTATCATATGAAATATGAGATGTGAAGATATCGACATACTCTCTCCTGGTGCCAGTGTCACCGTTGTTGTAGGCGTGGTGGGCGTAGTTGGGGTCGTGGACATTGGTGTTGTTGAAGGTTTTGTTGTAGTATCAGGCATTTTACCAAAGATGACGTTGACTGTCGGCGTGATGTCGCCGCTAGCATGACCAACGAAGTCGATACATAGTTTATCTCCCGTGTGTTCCACCCCGTTGAAGGGCTTGTTGACCAGCACGTACTCTTTACCATCAGCACTGTGGGACTCTATGTCAGCTAGCCACACCTGACAGGTAGACAGGGATAGCACACATTACTTCCTTTATTAACAGGGGGCGGTGGGGTAGCCTAGTGGTTAAAGACCCGGGTTTGATTCCCCACATGGGTACAATAGGAGAAGCCCATTTCTGATGTCCCCCGCCGTAATACTGCGGGAATAGTGGTAAAAGCGGCGTAAAACTTAACTCACTCACTCACTCACTCACTACAAACTCACTTCAAGCGACGACGTAGGCTCGCTGATCTCCAAACGAGCTCTCCAAGAAGACACGTCATGATCAAAAGGTAAACAAAACTGTCCTTGAAAACCACCACCCCAGTGGTTGCCAATGGTTACAGGAACTACATCTGCTGATGTAATGGAGAGTAACCCCAGGAAGCAGAGTGCCAACATCTGCGAGACAGATAAATAAACACATAGAATTATTTAGTGGAGATGAAATATCAATCAAAACCATCTTAATTAAACTGTGTGCGCCTGAACCCTGCCTGTAAATACAGTGTATGTAATCCATCACCATTGTCTTTTCTAGTAGGGCAGTGGGGTGGCCTAGTGGTTGAAGCGTTCGCTCCTACCGGGCCCGGTAGGAGGCCCGGGTTCGATTCCCCACATGGGTACAATGTGTGAAGACCAATTTTAGTGTCCCCCGCCGTGATATTGCTGGAATATTGCTAAAAGAGGCGTAAAACCAAACTCACTCACTGACTATTGTAGAAATACAAATATGTTGTTTTGTGCCGCACTCCGCAGTATTCCAGCTAAATCACGCCAGCCTGAAAATATCGAGTCTGTCAACTAGAGGCTGATAGTTGTGGAGTCACAGATGTTGTGGGCCTGACTGACTGACTGACTGAGTTTGGTTTTACGCCGCTTTAAGCAATATTCCAGCAACATCACGGCGGGGGACACCAGAAATGGGCTTCACACATTGTGCCCATGATGGGGATTCGAACCCGGGTCTTCGGCGTGACGAGCCAACGCTTTAACCATTAAGCTACACCACCGCCCCTGTGGGCCTGACGGTAAGGTGGGTTATGAGGAACGGAATTTGTATGGCGAATTGCTATTTCCACAGCTACATCTGCAAAACCAACATTTCTAAATATATATTTTTAAAAGCAGCTTGCAACTATGTTGTTTTTTATGTGTTTAAGTAAACATGTGTACTTTATATCAAGAACATTAATTTGTATACATTTTCTAAATATATATACTAAATAGTCTCTATTTTGATATGTGTCAGTGTAACTCTCTCCGAGTTAGTTATGAAACTATGTATTGCTGCACCAACAAATATTTTGAAAAGAATAGTGAATTTGCCGTCTCATGATTTTGATGAATGGATCTTACACTTAAAATCCAACAATCCAATGCCAATATGTCTGGATGTCTACGTCGAATGACCAAACAATGGATGAATAAAATATATACTACCTTGTTGTTCCTATGTCAAGTCTCAGAAGGTTAGGTTGTACTTCAGTGACTCATAACCAGCTTCGATTCCAAGAACCAGATAACCTTATCACCATGAACTCTTACGTTCTGTACACGTGGAAATGTAGGTTGCTTGTCGATCACCGAACACATTGTCTGCTATTATCTCTCCGGTCGGTTTTGTTGCTAAATCATTTCAAGAAATGTGATGTTATGATTATCTTAAATATTAATAGTATTACTCATCCATAGATATAATGTTGATCGTGTTTCTAAGCGAGCATCAAACATCACTGTTTTTGTGTCTTTGTTATCTATGGCTATATTTATAGTGTTTGAAGACCATTGGGTGGCATAGAGGATGAAGCGTTTGCCCATCAAGCCAAAACACCGGGTTCGATTCCTCGTAATTAGACATGTTAACTTTGTATTATTGTTAAAAGCGTCAGAAAATGACACTCATCCACTGTCTGTGATCTACTGGAGTGTTGTTGGTCGGATTACCGTAATCATTAGATTCTGATCTGTGATTAAACCAGGTGTTTTTGTAGATATGTTCACTGTGTCTCTAGAACATCCACTCGGCTGTACTGGAAAGAAGACAGAGGACCAAGAGAACCCGTGACCTGACTACGGGCCGCGTAGCACACAGGTCATACATGTCTTAGCTTTACATTATGTATAGCCAAAACCGGGTTCAAGGACGAGTGACTACAAACAGTTCAATATAATATGCAAGGATACCTGCAAGAAATTGTTCCAGTTCAACCGTCACAGACGCAGCGTTTACGTGGAAAATGAAGAACAATCCCTGCATTTGTAAAACACCGACGTAATTCAACTTTCAACAAAACCAGTAAATGCCCTGTCGTGTCACTGACTTAATGCAAACTGTTTAAGGCGGCCCTGCTACAGGTAGGGCGGGACATGATCATCTCTGTTGTAAACACTTGCATGTCAGCCATGGTTTTCAGTGGCCCATGTATATGGTTCTGCTTTTTAGCCCAGTGGAAAATGTTTAGGCAGCTAATCGAGACTGGGTAGTCTCTGGTTATTCTCTGGTGTTGACGTTGAATTATATATTTATCGCCCACACATCCCCATATAACCTTACAGTATGGGGGCAAACTGTTCTTTGTGTAAGTTAATATCACAAATATACATTCTATAGGTTGTTTGTTTGTTTGTCTGTTTGTTTAACGCCGCACTCAGCAATCTTCCGGCTGTATGGCGGCGGTCTGTAAATAATCCAGTCTGAACCAGACAGTCCAGTGATCAACAGCATGAGCTTTGATCTATGATGTGTCAACAAGCCCTGACCACCCGATCCCGTTAGTCGCCAATTACAACAAGCATGGGTTGCTGAAGACCAATTCTCACCCTGATCTACGCGGGTTCATGATGTTTCATAGTTTTTTTCACGTCACGAGATGACAAATACATCATATATCACTTGACACATTAAACATTCTAGTTATTATGTGCTTCAATTTTTTTGTTTAATTAAAGACAAACATTATTAATCCGAGAAAATTCGATAAACGATATCCAAGACTGTTCACGTCTTTGTTCAGGCACATATATATGACATAGTTCGGTAATCGAAAATAAGATAAATATTAAAACACATATCTCTATCAGCTGTCATCTTTGATTTATTGTCGTTGTAACAATGCGACAGCACTTATGATCATATCCATCAATGCATCATTTTGGTCTCAGCATCGTTAACGTCAACACTCGGTGCTGACGCACGAGTACGTAACAACCACAAACAAACATGGCAGGCCGATTGAGACAAAGTGAAACTGTTTACAGTGTTACATAAATACAGGTGATGACCAGTGTCATTCAAGTGAAATAAATCACTTGAACATAAAATGTCAGTTTCGAATGCTGCCAACTCGTAACTCTAGTGTTTTGAAAAGAGGTGAACTCGCACGAAGCGTAGCGTGGACTGGACTGAACTCAGCAAAGGACAGTCGCACTCCCTCAGTGCACGGAATGACCAAGCGATCAGTTGATTGGTTCTGTTCGGTGAACGTTGGTCATTCGATAACCCGGCTTTGGTGAAAAGCATATTATTACAATGCTGTTTATTTTGTGGTGTGACAAGATACTTGCCAGAAACCGTTTTTGAGCAATAAAGTGGTGCCAGCAAAGAGATATTTTAACTACAGTGAACATACCAAATTCCTGTCACTGCAGTGAAAATATCCCTTTTCTCCAACTGAGAAATCTCAGTCTTTCACACTTAAGTATACATCAAATTTACGTATCAAAACTGATAATAAACTTTGAGGTACAATGTTTTTGCTCTGAAAACATAAAAAACTGATGCATTAGTAACAAAAATGATGTCCGATGAAATTCCTTACTTTTGACCTGTACCATGATTCATTCCCGAAATCACTTTTTACGAAGATCTAATATAATCAGCATTTGAAAGTGATTCGTAAATACATGCTCTGTCATCGTATCTCATGAAGTCAATCACTGGAATGTCTGGTCCAGCTGTAAAGCTGAATGCGATGTCAAACTAACAGTCAGAATTGTAGAATCCATTCTGCTATTATCTGAAATTTCTGATGGATGTGGAAAGGGTTTTGTCGTCGTTTCTGTTAGAGCCTGAAAATTAACAACACTGTAATACCAGAAGTAAAATAAAGAGATATTTTAATTCAATAAATTTGCTGTCTGTTTCAGTAAAGGTAGATAGCAAAATATAGAAGTGTCTGGAGTAGCATACACGGTTGGGCGTGGTGTGGCGCACCCCCTCAACGGCTGCAGATAAAGAAATGCTGCCAGATATCTAGGGCAGTTACCAAAATCCTCATTCACAACCTATACAGTTGGGTGTGGTTTGGGGCTCCCCACTCCACGTCTGAAGATAGGGAGGGACTGCCAGACCTCCATGGCAGCTACCAAAATCCTCATTCACAACCTTTACAGTTGGGCGTGGTTTGGGGCTCCCCACTCCACAGCTGTAGATAGGGAGGGACTGCCAGACCTCCATGGCAGCTACCATGATCCTCATCCTGAACAGTTGATGTCAGATAATCCTCTATGGAAATCTCCCAAAACAGATCAACTTAAAAACTCCTCTCTTTCACCGCGATGATCTGTCCTGTGTGCAGACGGTGCCTGTCTCCGACATTATACAGCTAATTTCAGTTTCACTAGATTATAGAATTGTTAAGGGATTACACGCTGTACTTCATGGAAACGATTTTTGCCTTATTCTTGCTTGTCACGATATGTGTTTATTTATAGTTGTTAGGTACGGCCGTGTGTCTAGATTCCAGGAATTTCTACACATCGCACCTAATTAACATGCTGACGGTTGTATTAAAAAACAAGATTATGATGTGTCAACGAATTCAAAGGTTACTGACATGATTCATCCCCCATATGTCACCTGTCGTGACCATTCGTTGTGATCCCTTTTTCTTTGAAACGTATATATGATTATTGAGTTTTTATTCAGATGGGTGACACCATGGTGCTGCATGCACTTACTGATAGTGCTATCAAGCCACGGGGTCGCCCAGATAACAGGTTGGCATGTGTTAATGCAGTTCAGCCTCAAGCTGCACAGTCACTCACAGACATCCGGGCAGGTCAGTTCATTTTGAAGAGCTTAGGTTTGATTGTAACAGATAGTGGTTTGGGATTCCTGTAGGAGTGTATTATAACAGAATATGTTACATATGACGTTGCTTCGTTAAACCTATTCATGGCATGAATTTTCAGCATGCAAATATGATTAATGTATTCATATATTAAACATTGCATGATGATCTTTAACGCCATAGCTGTATGTAACATCACCTAACGTATTATAAAGTCAACTACTGCTCTGGTCTGTTGAGAGTACTTCTCATGGCTCTAACGCCCGAGTTGTCGAAAAGATTGATGTTCCAAACGAAAACTAAACACCAACGGTGGATAAATATATTCTGGTTTATTATTAATGGAACCTGAAAAGTTAGACGAATCTTAGGTGTTTAAAAGTGATTTGCTGGGAATAATCTGCTTATAAGACAGGCGGAACCAGAGGGACTTTAAACACTGATAATCAAACGAAACTTAAATATCATTAACTGTTGACATAGCGTATGCATAAAAAGGGATTTCTGCAAAAGTACAGTAGCTTACAGTTAGAAGTACAGTAGCTTACAGCGAGAAGTACAGTAGCTTACAGCGAGAAGTACAGTAGCTTACAGTGAGAAGTACAGTAGCTTACAGCGAGAAGTACAGTAGCTTACAGTGAGAAGTACAGTAGCTTACAGTGAGAAGTACAGTAGTTTACAGTGAGAAGTACAGTAGCTTACAGTGAGAAGTACAGTAGCTTACAGTGAGAAGTACAGTAGTTTACAGTGAGAAGTACAGTAGCTTACAGTGAGAAGTACAGTAGCTTACAGCGAGAAGTACAGTAGCTTACAGCGAGAAGTACAGTAGCTTACAGTGAGAAGTACAGTAGCTTACAGCGAGAAGTACAGTAGCTTACAGCGAGAAGTACAGTAGCTTACAGTGAGAAGTACAGTAGCTTACAGTGAGAAGTACAGTAGCTTACAGTGAGAAGTACAGTAGCTTACAGTGAGAAGTACAGTAGCTTACAGTGAGAAGTACAGTAGCTTACAGTGAGAAGTACAGTAGCTTACAGTGAGAAGTACAGTAGCCATAGAGAAGTACAGTAGCTTTACAGCGAGAAGTACAGTAGCTTACAGCGAGAAGTACAGTAGCTTACAGTGAGAAGTACAGTAGCTTACAGCGAGAAGTACAGTAGCTTACAGTGAGAAGTACAGTAGCTTACAGTGAGAAGTACAGTAGCTTACAGCGAGAAGTACAGTAGCTTACAGTGAGAAGTACAGTAGCTTACAGCTGAGAAGTACAGTAGCTTACAGCGAGAAGTACAGTAAGAACGAAATCGCCATAAGGAATAATAGGATGTGTTGTGTGGGCCAGGCATTGTTTGGGGGAGAAGAGTCTGGTACATACAGGTTCAAGAGTAACAAATCATGTGTAAGTTGGATGTCCTCGAAACTCATAAAACTGTGAACAACGCATCCTTGTGTATAAAGAAAGTGTAACCGAGGGATTGTCCTGTCTCAACCCAACACAATACTGAATAGTACATAGACAGCTAACTCAACTCACTCGTTGTCATTGACATGTTCGCAGATGATTCATCTTCTCTTACTGGGGCTCTTTGCGAGCCCGTCGGCGGCGAGTACGGTGCCTGTTACCATGGGCAACCATTGGAGTGGTGGATTCCAGGGTGATTTCTGTCTACCATTCACTCTTGACGTCACTTCCTGGAAAGCTCGAATTCATTTCAGCATGCCGACAAAGTCTCTCGAGGTCGGTTCATAAAGTTTGAATTACATTCATATTAAAATTAGATGCTGATAGATAATTATATATCACTAAAATATCATTTTATTAATCGAAGGATAACAGGAAAAATGTTCGATTTTACTGTGTCAGTGTGGACATTTTTTACACGTTTTTGCTGTCAACTGTTGTATAACCATGCCTTGGCTTCACGCCATCTTGCACATCAGATCTATTTGGCTGACATTGAGTCTCAGAATACGGACGGCACAGAGTACGTGGTAGTCAACAAACCATTCAATGGAGACGAACATCCTGGGGACCAGCTGTGTCTGTCTTTCCAAGGACACGCTGACGGGGACATCACCCCAACGGCTACTGTCGTCCTAGAGAACATGCCCGACCCCACTACACCTCCATCGACGACATCGACCACAACAGCCCCAACTACCACGAGAACACTGGGACCTGGCGAGAGTATGGATGTTATAAATGTTCACAGATGCTTTGTTGTAAATCATGACTGATACAAAACAACCACACACACACACACACACACACACACACGCACATGCATGCACTTTCACAGCCACACCTGCATGCACACACAAAAACACACACACAATTCATTCACGCATGCACATACTCATACAGAAATAAAATAATTTATACGTCAATGGCATTTTACCGAGACGTTCGACAACCATGATCACTGCTCGGCTATCTGAAACTCGTTCGTAATGTGTTACACCTTCATATTATGTACAATTCCTTAAATACTTTCGGAAAAAGCACATATATAACTATTCCTTGCACTTTATCAAAACTTCCTTGAGGCTGCATATCGTGGACAATAGACATGTTGATCAGGCTGTGTGGAATCCGATATGATATGCTTGATATACTTACCAAATGTACGAATGAACAGAGCACACGTTGGAAGGAAACGTCCAAGAATATAACATGATGATTCCTTCTTATTTTTGTAGCGTGGCCCCCAACGACAACACATCCTCCAACCACAAGTAAGTTTCACGTTAAAGGTCACATGCAACCAAAAAATCAAACATAATTAAAACACAATTATCACTTCTTCATGACATATAATATGCATTGCTGATTATGAAAAAACAAATAAACAAAATTATAAGCGTATAATCGCAAATCAAAAGTGCAATATTTTGTACTTGGGTTTACCTCCCTCGAAACGAAGCAGCCGGGATACCGAACCCAGTCAGAGCGGGTGGGTGTGCACTCAAGTGTAACGGCTGGTTCATTAGCAGATGCCGCCTTCACGGGTCATTGTGTGTGTATATATAGAAAGTTGGGGTTTGTAAATACATGCTCATTTTTTGTGTATAACATTTTGCAATCAACAGACATCATAACATGTCATGTGTTCAAGTATCACACCTGCCTGTCTGTGTAATTACATAATGTGACAGAGACTGAACTCGGGCCATTAATCAATGCGTTTTGTTTATGGTGTATAGCCTGATTGGTGTTAAGTTCAAATTGCATGTGGTCAGTTATCGCAGTTGTGTATTGAATATTGTCATTAGCAGACAGGCAGGCAGACACACTGGTGTCAATAAAACAAGACATTGAGTTTTGTCTGTGACAGCGACATATCTATATCACAGTTAGAAATCGTGGAAACTCTAAATAATGACATTGCTTTTAAGTATCGAACTGAGAAAGTGACTCGGTAAGAAGAACGTGTGGTGAAATAGACAAATGAAATTATATAAACAGTTTATTTACTGTCATAACATACAAAAAGCTCGCGCCTGTGAGATATCAACAAAACATTATGAAACTAGCTCACACCAAAGCCTTCACCGAGTATTCACCGGACAACCCGCTTCCAAGCTGCGCAAACCTATTTCACTGCGCACGTGCTATGAGCGCAGCCAGCTGTTGAAACCCGTATTCCCCAGAAAAGTCTGGGGAAAATTAGTGAAACGTTTGAACTCCGCGTTTTTTTTCATCGCGTTATTTTTCATCTTTATAAGTTGAATTTGCATTTTTGACGCTTTTTTTCGGTAAGTCCATACCGAAAGGTATCAGAATCTGCAAAGTTGTGTTTTACGTTGCATGTGACCTTTAACGTTATTATCCAGGTTCCCCAATACAGTGTTGGCGAATCCAATCACCAACCTGACTTATTATTGGAAAAACTTCATCAGTAGGACACCACTCACCTTGTATTTGGTTCCCTCGATTACTGGGTAAATGAATTTTAATTAATGCGTATTATTTGTGTGCCGGTTGACAACTAGTCAAAGAAACATAAAGCAGTTGTCGTACTTGATATTTATTCATTGTCAACAGAGGGCACTCAGCCGTTGCACGTGCCTCACAACCAGACCTTAACAATGGAGCTGATCCAGAACAGGAATGGTCAGTGGGAGGGGCAGTTCTGTGTTGACCTCAAGGAGGAGATCCAGGCCTGGGAACTCCTCATGACCTTCAGTGTGGGTGTCACCAGCATCCAGGTAAGTTCAGGCCAGGACACCATAGACTTACATCTTGTACACACACGTCACCAGCATCCAGGTAAGTCCAGGCCAGGAAACTATAGACTTACATCTTGTACACACACGTCACCAGCATCCAGGTAAGTTCAGGCCAGGAAACTATAGACTTACATCTTGTAAATACAGGTTACCAGCATCCAGGTAAGTTCAGGCCAGGAAACTATAGACTTACATCTTGTACACACACGTCACCAGCATCCAGGTAAGTTCAGGCCAGGAAACTATAGACTTACATCTTGTAAATACAGGTTACCAGCATCCAGGTAAGTTCAGGCCAGGAAACTATAGACTTACATCTTGAACACACACGTCACCAGCATCCAGGTAAGTTCAGGCCAGGAAACTATAGACTTACATCTTGTAAATACAGGTTACCAGCATCCAGGTAAGTTCAGGCCAGGAAACTATAGACTTACATCTTGAACACACACGTCACCAGCATCCAGGTAAGTTCAGGCCAGAAAACTATAGACTTACATCTTGTAAATACAGGTTACCAGCATCCAGGTAAGTTCAGGCCAGGGCACCATAGACTTACATCTTGTAAATACAGGTTACCAGCATCCAGGTAAGTTCAGGTCAGTAAACTATAGACTTACATCTTGTACACACATTACATATTTTACCCACAAGTCACCGCTTCCGAGCTGTTCTGGATGGACTGTCAGCCTTGAAGACGTTAAAATAAGCACACTTTCTTACTCTGGCACTCGGTCATCAGTTGGTAAAACAGGACTGGTCTGCTGTGTATCAGTATAATATATTTGAGAGGGATAGCCAATGTGACACGCTGTCCCAGCACATAAACCCACGTGCATGACCCTCGCTTCACGTGCAATGATGTCCAACGTTGTGCTAAACCTCATTTGTCCAAGGTACGAATAATACGTTTAAGACTGAACACCCTTAGAAAGAACTGATTGAGTCACACTCTTGTCCTTTTTTTCAAATCCTAAAATTGTTCCTGAAATCACATAAAATCGACTTGTAAAAAAAATATTTAATCCTGTCAATGCACTTTGTGTTTTTGTTGATTCAGAGTGAACATGTCTGGTCGAAGATACATTTTGGGTTGTCATTCAAATGATCATGTCTAGAAGGGACAATAACACCTTGTCATCTATTGCCTTGTATGACCAAATAGCAGGTCGTGTGTGTCTTGTATCATTATATTTTCGATATCTGTGTAACAGAAACGTATACCTTTTGATATTTAGAACTATGAAGGGGATATAGTTGGATCATCTTCAGGCTGCTCCAAACACTGGACAATGGTCAACCGGAAAGCCAAAGGTGTCCATTACGCCGGAGACCATTACTGTGTTCGGATGACAGGTAACGTGTGCAGTGGGTCTGGCGATCCCAGCGGAACTGCCGTCCTCGTCGACGTCACCAACGATGGACAGACGCTGCCTCTTACCCCTGTTGTTACAGGTCAGTGACCTTCTGTGATACGTTCACGTGTATGTTTGGTGACTTATGACTGTGTCGCATTATAACCGTGAGGCATTGGCGTTTTAAACGTACAGAGAGACTGGTAGCGCCTTATATTGTACGTCAGCATGTTTTCTTGTGTTGATGCACAGGTCACTGAATATTCCACCATACATGACATTATCATAAAGCCAACTTGTGTTCAAGAAGACAAATCTTACTAAAACTCCACAATACACTATTTGTATTGTGTTCTTATGACAGTGACCGAGGGAGTTGGATTCAACACCGCTTCCAATAGAATTCATGTTATATCACGTCATAACAGTTACATCCCATGCCTCACTCAGTCGAAAGATGGGTATAGTGTTGACAAACCATGAAACATAATCGGGCTTATCAGGATTCAACTTGTGATCTTAGGTTCCTGGCGTGACCAGGGGCCGCCACTCTGCACAGCGAACAGCAGTCTCTATGACGACAGGTGCCCTAGGTGCCTTTGTTTTTATCAACTAACTTTGACATCAATGAATACATGTTAGCAATAGCGTCATGTAAAGACAATAACACGAATATAATTTAGTTATGTGATTGACAATCTAAGACTGTCTTTAGTATACGTTTTCATCATGGGACCCGAGAGGATTGGGGTTTCAGCATGTGTTTGTCTGCCTGATCTTACGGTTCAATTGCTTACACGCTTACATGTAAAGTCCATCCTTTGAGTTCCCCGTCCTCAAAAGGGCTTGGGCATTGACACATCACCGCAAAGCCAGAGGAATTCCAACACGCTCTACTTTAATAGTATTGTAAAGTATCTATGCATCGTACTGATGCCCCGACCTCGTCCACATGAAGAAGAAGTGAACTCCAGCGAATGTCTCAATATCGGACTGTTTCAATACGAGATTGGGGACAAAAAGCGCTTCCTAACTACATGAATAGACCTTCCACGTGAAGCCAATGACTATTTGATGACTGTGCAACCACTATCTGTCGCCAGGGGCCCAAGCAACCAAGTACAACTATGCTGAGATCCTGATGAAGTCCATCTTGTTCTACGAGGCTCAGAGATCCGGGAAACTCCCCCCTGACAACAGGATCCCATGGCGAGCTGACTCCGCCCTCAACGACAAGGGTGCTAACGGGGAAGACCTCACTGGAGGATGGTACGACGGTGAGTATCTATTGGCAACAGTTGCTGCAAACCAAAAACATGTTTTCTAAAGTATGTGTTTGAATGAAAATGTAGTGTATTTTTACGTTTTCGGTCACACTGTATTTAACATTTGTATCCTTTTTCTTCTTGCACGTTTACATCATATTGGCGACAAACACAAGTAAAGTAAGAAATGCGACCTGTTCTTGCCCGTGTGCATGCCAGATTGAATCTTCCTAAATTCTATCAACACCATATTTGTATGTCTCCTTAAGTGTCTTTACCTTTGATAATGGGGGCGGTGGTGTAGTCTAGTGGTTACAGATAGATTGAGTGAAACCCATCTCTGGTGTTCCCTGCCGTGATGTTGCTGGAATATTGCTAAAAGCGGCGTAAAACCATACACACTCACTCACTCCTTTGATAATGGCAGTGATACATATTTTGTTATATTGTTGTAATGAACTTAAAATAACTTAAGAACTGTCCTTTGATAAAGAAAAACACGTATGAATCGAATCATGAATTAATACTGAATGTTTCACAATACCGAGGATTGTGGGACATATCAGGGCAATAGTTTATGAATTTGATTGTCTCAGGACAATGTGTCTTGGTCTGATAAAGCGCTATGACGTTACTCTTTCAGCTGGCGACAACGTCAAATTCAACTTCCCCATGGCGTTCAGCACGACCCTCCTGACGTGGAGTCTGCTTGATTACAAGGATGCCTACGAGAAGAGTGGTCAACTGGAGAAGATGTATGAATGTATCAAGTGGCCGCTGGACTACTTCATCAAGTGCCACACCAAGCCTAACGAGCTCTACGCACAGGTATAGAGGTTTACCTTCGAAGATATAACAGTCATATATAAAACTGTAAGTAGGTAATTGCAAGGCGTTGGTTTTAAAAGGGTGACTGGCAACCCATGTAAATATAGACTTGTGTCAATGTATGTGTGAATACTGATCTGATTTCAAATGTTCCGTGGTTTGTTTATGCAGTGGCTATAGTGGCATCTGGAAGACATGGCAATAGGAATTGTACCCAAATCAATATCGTGTAATAAAATACGAAGCGTTTTTGGAACTCGAAACCGGTGATAGTTGGTTGGCTTATATTGGCTACAAATTGAATACAATATAATGAAATAGTTGCGGGTGTCCGATCTGACATTACTCTGTGAGGAAGGCCCTGAATGATAGATGTCGCGCTCAATGGTCATAGTTGAACCAAAAACTAGCCACTGAGTAGCCCCATTAGACGTCATGACTGACCCCTACCTAGGGCTGTACTGAGTGGGGCAGCTGTTAAGTAAACAGCCTCATGAAATGTTGATCCTTTAACGCATGGCGTCATCCCTTATTTTCTGTGATCCTTTCATACAATTGTCACCCTTAACGCCCAGTAGAATATGTTTCGTTGGAAAATCGAGACTGGCTTTCTGTAGACTTGACCTCGTGCACAGTAATACTGGGATATGATGTTGGATGTTGGATGACGACAGAACCTCTGTGTGCTGTATGGAAACCGTGCTTCGTTTGTAGTCAGATTGTAGCTTTTTAATAGAGAACCTGAACATGGCAACAATCATTGTGAACGTCATTGAAACTTTATACTGCAATTTCAGACAAAATATCAGCCCTGAATATAACGGTTTAACCTGACTTAACCCATTTACCTGGATTTAAAGTCTTCTGTGGGTAAATTCTTCAATATTTTGTAGATATAATTGGGACTGTTAGTTAGTCTTGAGGTTAACGTGTACGCTCGCCAAGCCGGAGGTACTGGTTCAAATCCCAACATAAAACCCCAATTTCTGATGTTCCCAGTGGTGAAATTACTGAAATAGAAGCGATAGAATATATTATTCATTCAACTATTCACTCATTCTGCTAGATTATTTGTTATCTATTCAGCAACCTACATGCAGATGGCTTGATTTAACCTTTGTACAGACAGCTACATACAAGCAAGATAAGAAACGAGCACCTTGTCCCGAGTTGCCATCAGTTTCTGCAGGACACTCCTTTGGCAGGGTACGTACTGAAAACGCTCTCTTGACATTACCATCTGAAATTCGACAAAAGCTTTTCATTACTCATAAGAAATCTCTGGTAAAAGCAGTGCTGAACGTATCAATGTATTACAATCCAATTATCAGAGGTTCGCCAAAAGGTAAGCCTCGGGTCATACTTCGCGGGTGTATACCCCTGTTTAATTTACATTTAATACAATTTTAATTTGAAAACAAATCGGCCATTTTGCACCTTTTTTGACAAAATGATTTAAACGGCTTATTATTTCTATATTCAGGCCAGTTCAATACACGTGTATTACTCCTACTGAAACAAACTTGGTACGAGACTTCAATATGAACGTGTTTTAGCTTGGTTAACCATTTGAATGTCAACGAAAAATTAGTGAATTGATATTAAATGAGATTAGATCACGTTGTCCGTGTTCACAAGAAAGTATCTTCAATTTTACAAATATCCATGGATACGGTGCAAATGGGTGAGTGAATACTGCTGATTCATGGCGTTAAACAACCACAGAACTTGGATAGTCCCGCACCCACTAGCCAAACATGTTTGGTGAAAAATCACGATTTGGGCCTATAGACCTAGGCCCAGACTTCGAAGCTCTCTTAGCGCTTAGATAGTCGTAAGTTAATGTTAAGGTATGGCACTTACGACTATTTCAGCGCTAAGAGAGCTTCGAAAATCTAGGCCCAGAAAGTTAAAGGACTCAAATTACAGCTGACATATGTCCACATAATCAAATAGCAGCTTGAAGGACTGGATGAATTGTTTTGTTATACACAGATGTGGCAATTACTTCTTGTGGCGGCCTTTGTCGCCGGCAGTCATGGATTGAAGGTACAGATGTCGGGAATCAAGGACAACACGGGGAAGTTTGAGGGTACATTCAACGTCCAGGCCACAGACACCATCGACGGTTGGCTTCTAGACATCACCTTCTGCGAGGCCATCACAGGATTTTCGGTAATTCAAGACTCTCAATGACAGTTTCAACAAATGTCATTAAAACAAACACAAACTACGTAAATCGATGTAAGACAATGTCTTTATTACTGAAGCAAAACTATTTTAGAGGCCATTGTCATCATCCCAGTGGCGTCTTTTAGTTCTGTCAGGCAACATATCATTACGATTATCTGAAACAGATAGTACGCATCATTATGATTATCTGAAACAGATAGTACGCATCATTATGAATATCTGAAACAGATAATACGCATCATTATGATTATCTGAAACAGATAGTACGCATCATTATGAATATCTGAAACAGACAGTACGCATCATTATGATTATCTGAAACAGATAGTACGCATCATTATGAATATCTCAAACAGATAATACGCATTATTATGATTATCTGAATACGTATGAATGAATCAGATAATACGTACGCATCATTATGATTATCTCAAACAGATAATATCGCATCGCATCATTATGATTATCTGAAATAGATAGTACGCATCATTATGATTATCTGAAATAGATAATACGCATCATAATGATTATCTGAAACAGATAGTACGCATCATTATGATTATCTGAAATAGATAGTACGCATCATTATGATTATCTGAAATAGATAGTACGCATCATTATGATTATCTCAAATAGATAGTACGCATCATAATGATTATCTGAAATAGATAGTACGCATCATAATGATTATCTGAAATAGATAGTACGCATCATTATGAATATCTTAAACAGATAATACGCATAGTATGATTATTTGAAACAGATAGTACGTATTATTATGAATATCTGAAACAAATCATAGTACGCATCATTATGATTATCTTAAACAGATAATACGCATAGTATGATTATTTGAAACAGATAGTACGTATCATTATGAATATCTGAAACAAATCATAGTACGCATCATTATGATTATCTTAAACAGATAATACGCATAGTATGATTATTTGAAACAGATAGTACGTATCATTATGATTATCTGAAACAAATCATAGTACGCATATTATGATTATTTGAAACAGATAGTATGCATCAATATGATTACCGGAATCATAAAGTACGAATCATTATGATTATCTGAAACAGATAGTTTGGTGTTTATGGACATTCTTACAAGGCACAGTACTTGCTAGCTTTTAGATTTTCTACGCTGTCTGGTCCAGACTCGGTAATTTACAGACCGCCGCCATATAGCTGGAATATTGCTGAATGCAGCGTAAAACTAAACTCACTAACTCCCTCACTCTACGATTCTTCTGGCAGCAATGGCAAGGTGATATGATATCAAAGAACACAGACGGCACCCACTTCAAGATCGTCAACAAGGCGTACGACGGTATCATCAACAAAGGGTCCTCCCTGTCCATAACCGTCACCGGCTCCTACTCAGGAAGTAAAGCACCTTGCGCATCTGCCGAATTTACCAACCTAGGGAAAGATCCATTCAAGGTCCAGATTCCAAGGGATCGTAAGTTTTCTGTATAGATGTGTTGGATACGTGTGACATTGTGTAGGCCTAAGTCTGAAGGGTTTCATCATGTCTCTTGAGGCTAACTGTAAAGAATAAGTAGCACGTAAAGGGAACTATGTATGGGGAATGGGGGGAGTGAAAGCTGGTAACCAAATATTTTGTTTTGTTTGGGATATGGAGTTGCTGACAAATATAGGAATGAGTTTCATATGTCCCCAGCTGACCAAACCAAGTATAACTACGACGAGGTTCTCATGAAGTCCATCCTGTTCTACGAGGCGCAGAGATCTGGTAAACTTCCGGCGAGTAACCGCATCCCATGGAGAAATGACTCCTCCCTCAAGGACAAGGGAAGCGGGGGAGAAGACCTCACGGGGGGGGATGGTATGATGGTCAGTTGAGTGAACATATTTTTGACATTTCGCTAAAGTCTTTTAAAGCGCTAGCCAGACATATGGATATGATGACTTATCAACAATCTGCTATACCCGAATACACCCAACCTGACACATAAGTCAGTCAGTAATAGTTTGTGTGTGTTTTCTCTTCCGCCGCACTCAGAAATTATTCGAAGTATAAGCATTGGCGGATCCAGAGGGGGGTTCAGGGGGGTCAAACCCACCCACCCTTCCACCCACCCTTTCCCCCTTTTGAATATGACTTATGACCACATTGAAGATTTTGTTTTTGCGTTGGCGGAGCCAATGGGGGGTTCAGGGGGTTCAAAATTCCTGGATCCACCCATGATAAGACAGTTGTCCCACAATCGAAGTAATCTTATGAACGTTCTCAGCCATTCATATGTCCTGATTATCATTCCGCATATTCCACTAATATGTTCTGTAGATATTTGTTTGGTTTATTGTGAGGGTGGCGGGTCATATTGGTGGGGTGGAACACCTGCTGTCATCCCAAATTATCAAACAGTGACCCAAACCATGTGTTGTGCCAGCTGGGGTCTGTTTCAGTGTGTTATGGGGACATATTGTTTGCCTGAACGGACGTTTGAATTGACGCCAGTATCTGTGTTTTACAGCCGGTGATCATGTGAAGTTTGGGCTGCCTATGGCCTACTCCACCACAGTTCTCCTCTGGGGCCTGATCCAGTGGAAGGACGCCTACCAGAAGGCCAAACAGCTGGACTTCATGTACGACAGCGTTAAATGGCCGCTCGACTACTTCCTGAAAGCCCACGTCAGCAAGAACGAATTATATGTTCAGGTGTGTTTTCCTTCTAGAATAGCAGACGAGGATTCTTCTGAGAAATAAAACAGTTTACCATTTTGCAGATACCATACGACGGCCCTTCCGGACTCCTTAGACCTGACCAACACAATGTATACGATTATATATGCTTCGTTAATAACCTACCCGTGAAGATCGGGGTTAGATTGGTCTTCAGCAACCCATGCTTGTCGTAAGAGGCGACTAACGGGATAGGCTTGCTGATTAGGTTGACACATGTCATCGAATCCCAGTTGCGTAGATCGATGCTCATGCTGTTGATGACTGGATTGTCTGGTCCAGACTCGATTATTAACTGACCTTCTCCATGTAGCTGGAATATTGCTGAATGCGGCGTAAAATTAAACTCACTCACTCATATATAACCTTCCTTCCCGACTTTCTAGGTGGGTGACGGTGGCGCAGACCACGCCTACTGGGGCCGCCCAGAGGACATGACCATGGCCAGACCAGCCTACAAGATCTCCACTTCCTGTCCAGGCGCCGACGTCGCTGCCGAGACCGCTGCTGCCTTTGCAGCTGGATATTTAGCGTTCAAGGATAGAGGTGAGTACCGTGGATGACTGTATCATGTATCACTGTAGACCGTGGTCTCGTGGATAGAGTGTCTGCCCGGAGAGCAGAGGCTCGGTGGTTCGATCCCCTGCTGCTTCTTACTAAAACACGATGACTGGTGGCACTTGAATGGACTGGATGGCTTGGAGTCAGTGTACTGAGTTGGGTAGCCATGTTAGTTCAAATATTGCAGCCACGCGCGGTCAGTCAGCTAGCCCCACGCACACGCACGCACACAAATACACACGTGCATTCATCTTTCTATCTCACCTCACATCAAAGCAGGAAGCCAAGTCCTTTTGAACATCTGCCTCAAGTCAGAAAATATAAAGACGATGGGTTAATTTACAAAATTATATGTACTAAGTAAGACTTCGGTACTTACAGATTCTAAAGAACAATTAAATGTGAAATACGTATACCAGGTCATACTTTAACTGCACACTAGAAACTTCAGTCTCTGATTATATCGCTGATTGTATTTCGTAGATAGTAGTTATGCGGCAAAATTGCTTCAACACGGTAGAGAGCTGTACGACTTCGCCCTCAACAACCCCGGCATCTACACTGACTGCATCAACCAAGCCGCTGCTTACTACAGGTGGGTATTCTAGGCCGCTTACTGCAGGTTGTGTAACTCTATGTCTAACAGTTGTGGCATGACTAAATGGCCGCTCTATATATACGTGGATGATAACGTCACAACAATTATGGCTGTCTTTTCAGCTCTTTGTAGTATATAGTTACATTTTCAAGGGCAGGAACGATTCCATTCATCACTTCAAAAGTGTTTACCACGTGTTTACGTTTCCACACAATCACGACTGGGAGTGTGCATTTCATACATATCCGGTCTGACCCGTAAAGATCCGGGTTAGAATTGATCTTCAGCAAACCCTGTTTGTCGTAAGAGGCGACTGAGGCGATCGAGTGGTCAGGCTCGCTGACTTGGTTGACACATGTCATCGTATCCCAATTGCGTAGATCGATGTTCATGCTGTTGATCACTGGATTGTCTGGTCCAGACTCGATTAATTACAGACCGCCGCCATAAAGCTGGAATATTGCTGAATGCGGCGTAAAACAACCATTATAGCTAAAATACATGGAATTATCATGAAACGGCCCTCCCATTATCAGAAATTTGCTGGCCGCTGCAAATGATATTGGACCGCTCAACCTTAAAGACGGGCCACTATCAGTTCTGTTGTCAAGTGACGTCATAGTGGGTGCGTTGGCTTACGGTTCATTCGACATTAATTGGCTTTCGACTGGCAGATATTCTGGGTCAAACAAGTCAAAGCAACCCGAATTCCTGCTTTAAAATGCGATAATATTGGTTTTCTTGTTGGTGCTAACCTTAACAATTGCACTATTAAGGCTGTTGATGGACCAAAACCGAACACTGACATAGTTTGACATGTTGCAGGCTATGGTCTTGTCAAAGGCCAAGGTCGAATATCGTCACTTTCTGTTGTGACGTGACTTGAATTGTTCGATGATGTAATTGCATTCGGGCAGTCAACCCCGTCAGAAGTTGATTTGGGTTTACTTTCAGTCAAATTCCTTCATTGTTTCCTTTTTCTTTTCAACACACATTCCATGTATTTTAGCAATAATAACGGTAATGCTAGTTTTGAGGGCATTATCATTCGTCGGGCAGTTAATGGAAGACCTTTGGGCTTCTGCAAATGATAATGCCCTCAAAAATAGCATTACCCTTATAACAAACCAACCAACGATCGGTGTAACCACCATACTAGCCATCCTACAGTGTCCAACAGTGTGTGGCTACATCACTCAGTACGGTTTCCTCCCCCTCAGCAACATTCCAGCAATAGCACTATGGGGACACTTGGCAGCAGTCATCTACCCATACTGGAGGTCGAACTAGCGTGACAAATGAACGATTAACACCGACTATCTCCATATGAAAGCGACAAGATATTAAGTATAAGAATATTGTCAAATATTGAAATAATGAACTAGACGGACAGTAGACGGACAACGTCTATCCATCTACTGCTCACCATGAACTAACCCTGCTCCCTGACCAGGTCAATGGGCTACAAGGACGAGCTGGCGTGGGGCGGGGCCTGGATGTACTGGGCCACCAAGGAACAGAAGTATCTGACTGCGGCTGAGAACTTCCACCAGAATGGATCCGCGTGGGGATTCTCCTGGGATGACAAACAGGCGGGAGAAACAGTGAGTTGTCATGGCAACGTGTTGGTTATGTCTTTACCTTCTCACCTGAGGTCAGTGTCTACAGTATGTCAGAAGAATATTCCACAAAATAGTCCGTTTAGCAACACTAGAAGATGCAGCATTTGGTAATAATAATAATATTTAAATACAGTCAAAGCAAACATTTTTAGTTAGTGACAAAGTCAATATATTCACCTTTTATCGAGTGATGCCAGTTTTGTCGTACATGGCGAATTCCAATTCCGCTCGTCTCAGGCCTACAAATGTAACAGGCGATCAGGAGTAAACACCCAAATCTGTAAAATACCACACGGTGTCATGGCGGTATCTGCCTCAAAACCGTCACCGAAACACTGCAAACGGAAGGTCAAACACCCAACTATGGTTCCAACATCAAAGACACAACCATTCAATGTCCATTTCTTGGTTACTTCACGTCAAAACGCCATCACACATTGGCGTACATTCACTTTCCACCGGCTGGTTCGGGGAAACGTTTTTTTTAATCACTTTTTTCAACTCTGTTGGTACTTGTGACACTACCCTGAAGTTTACACAGATATATTTTTTATGTTTAAACACAACCTAGTCCACTAGGAAGTTAATTCGTGTTCTAGTTACTCCTTGTGATGCCCATTTCCGGCCGTGATCATGCTGGAATACTGCTAAAAGCAGCATAAAACCATACTCACCCACTCTTGTTACTCCTTGTGAAGCCCATATCTGGTGTCCCCCTCCGTGGTATTGCTAGAATATTGCTAAAAGAGGCATAAAACCATACTCACTCACTCGTGTCTCTCCTTGTTCAGGTGTTGCTGTACAAGCTGACCAAGAAGGACAAGTACAAGCAGGACATTATCCAGACCTTCCTGGACTGGATGCCCGGCGGCACGATCCCATACACTCCCAACGGCCTCGCCTACAGAGGGCAGTGGGGAGCCATCAGATATGCCAGTACGTACATTCCACTCTGATACAACAATCCACAGTAGTGGGGAGCCATCAGATATGCCAGTACGTACATTCCACCCTGAAACAACAATCCACAGTAGTGGGGAGCCATCAGATATGACAGTACGTACATTCCCCCTGATACAACAACCCACAGCAGTGGGGAGCCATCAGATATGCCAGTACGTACATTCCCCCTGATACAACAACCCACAGCAGTGGGGAGCCATCAGATATGCTAGTACGTACATTCCACTCTGATACAACAATCCACAGTAGTGGGTAGAAATCAGATATGCCAGTACGTACATTCCACTCTGATACAACAACCCACTACAGTGGGGAGCCATCAGATATGCCAGTACGTACATTCCACACTGATGCAACAACCCACTACAGTGGGGAGCCATCAGATATGCCAGTACGTACATTCCACTGTTATACAACAACCCACTACAGTGGGGAGCCATCAGATATGCCAGTACGTACATTCAACCCTGATACAACAACCCACAGCAGTGGGGAGCCATCAGATATGCCAGTACGTACATTCCACACTGATGCAACAACCCACTACAGTGGGGAGCCATCAGATATGCCAGTGCGTACATTCCACCCTGATACAACAACCCACTACAGTGGGGAGCCATCAGATATGCCAGTACGTACATTCCACACTGATGCAACAACCCACTACAGTGGGGAGCCATCAGATATGCCAGTACGTACATTCCACCCTGTTATGCAACAACCCACTACGGTGGGGGAGCCATCAGATATGCCAGTACGTACATTCCACCCTGATGATAACAACAACCCACAGCAGTGGGGAGCCATCAGATATGCCAGTACGTACATTCCACACCCTGATGCAACAACCCACTACGGTGGGGCCATCAGATATGCCAGTACGTACATTTCCACCTGATACAACAACCCACTACAGTGGGGGAGCCATCAGATATGCAAGTACGTTCTGGTGGACATTCCACACTGATGCAAAAACCCACGGCGGTGGGGGCCATCAGATATGCCAGTACGTACATTCCACCCTGATACAACAACCCACTGTGGTGGGGAGCCATCAGATATGCCAGTACGTACATTTCCACCCTGATACAACAACCCACTACGGCGGGGAGCCATCAGATATGCCAGTACGTACATTCCACCCTGATACAACAACCCACTACGGCGGGGAGCCATCAGATAATGCCAGTACGTACATTCCACCCTGATGCAACAACCCACTACGGCGGGGGCCATCAGATATGCCAGTACGTACATTTCCATCCTGATACAACAACCCACTACGGCGGGGGCCATCAGATATGCCAGTACGTACATTCCACCCTGATACAACAACCCACTGTGGTGGGGAGCCATCAGATATGCCAGCAACAGCCCACGTACATTCCACTCTGATACATCAACCCACTACAGTGGGGAGCCATCAGATGCCAGGACGTACATTCCACCCTGATACAATAACCCACAGCAGTGGGGAGCCATCAGATATGCCAGTACGTACATTCCACACTGATACAACAACCCACTGTAGTGGGGAGCCATCAGATATGCCAGTACGTACATTCCACCCTGATACAACAACCCACTACAGCGGGGAGCCATCATATATGCCAGTACGTACATTCCACCCAGATAGAACAACCCACTACAGTGGGGAGCCATCAAATATGCCAGTACGTACATTCCACCCTGATACAACAACCCACTACGGCGGGGAGCCATCATATATGCCAGTACGTACATTCCACCCTGATACAACAACCCACTACAGCGGGGAGCCATCAGATATGCCAGTACGTACATTCCACCCTGATACAACAACCCACTACAGCGGGGATCCATCATATATGCCAGTACGTACATTCCATCCTGATACAACAACCCACTACAGCGGGGAGCCATCAGATATGCCAGTACGTACATTCCACCTGCCTGATACAACAACCCACTGTGGTGGGGAGCCATCAGATATGCCAGTACGTACATTCCACTCTGATACATCAACCCACTACAGTGGGGAGCCATCAGATGCCAGTACGTACATTCCACCCTGATACAACAACCCACAGCAGTGGGGAGCCATCAGATATGCCAGTACGTACATTCCACCCTGATACAACAACCCACTGCAGTGGGGAGCCATCAGATATGCCAGTACGTACATTCCACCCTGATACAACAACCCACTACAGCGGGGAGCCATCAGATATGCCAGTACGTACATTCCACCCTGATACAACAACCCACTACAGTGGGGAGCCATCAGATATGCCAGTACGTACATTCCACCCTGATACAACAACCCACTACAGTGGGGAGCCATCAGATATGCCAGTACGTACATTCCACTCTGATACAACAACCCACTACAGTGGGGAGCCATCAGATATGCCAGTACGTACATTTCCACCCTGATACAACAACCCACTACAGTGGGGAGCCATCAGATATGCCAGTACGTACATTCCACTCTGATACAACAACCCACTACAGTGGGGAGCCATCAGATATGCCAGTACGTACATTCCACTCTGATACAACAACCCACTACAGTGGGGAGCCATCAGATATGCCAGTACGTACATTCCACCTGATACAACAACCCACTACAGTGGGGAGCCATCAGATATGCCAGTACGTACATTCCACCCTGATACAACAACCCACTGCAGTGGGGAGCCATCAGATATGCCAGTACGTACATTCCACTCTGATACAACAACCCACTACGGTGGGGGCCATCAGATATGCCAGTACGTACATTCCACCTGATACAACAACCCACTACAGTGGGGAGCCATCAGATATGCCAGTACGTACATTCCACCCTGATACAACAACCCACTACAGTGGGGAGCCATCAGATATGCCAGTACGTACATTCCACCCTGATACAACAACCCACTACAGCGGGGAGCCATCAGATATGCCAGTACGTACATTCCACCCTGATACAACAACCCACTACGGTGGGGAGCCATCAGATATGCCAGTACGTACATTCCACCCTGATACAACAACCCACTACAGTGGGGAGCCATCAGATGCCAGTACGTACATTCCACCCTGATACAACAACCCACTACAGTGGGGAGCCATCAGATATGCCAGTACGTACATTCCACTCTGATACAACAACCCACTACAGTGGGGAGCCATCAGATATGCCAGTACGTACATTCCACTCTGATAAAACAACCCACTACATGGGGAGCCATCAGATATGCCAGTACGTACATTCCACTCTGATACAACAACCCACTACAGTGGGGAGCCATCAGATATGCCAGTACGTACATTCAACTCTGATACAACAACCCACTACAGTGGGGAGCCATCAGATATGCCAGTACGTACATTCCACTCTGATACAACAACCCACTACATGGGGAGCCATCAGATATGCCAGTACGTACATTCCACCCTGATACAACAACCCACTGTAGTGGGGAGCCATCAGATATGCCAGTACGTACATTCCACTCTGATACAACAACCCACTACAGTGGGGAGCCATCAGATATGCCAGTACGTACATTCCACCTGATACAACAACCCACTACAGTGGGGAGCCATCAGATATGCCAGTACGTACATTCCACTCTGATACAACAACCCACTACAGTGGGGAGCCATCAGATATGCCAGTACGTACATTCCACTCTGATACAACAACCCACTACAGTGGGGAGCCATCAGATATGCCAGTACGTACATTCCACCCTGATACAACAACCCACTACAGTGGGGAGCCATCAGATATGCCAGTACGTACATTCCACCCTGATACAACAACCCACAGCAGTGGGGAGCCATCAGATATGCCAGTACGTACATTCCACCCTGATACAACAACCCACTACAGTGGGGAGCCATCAGATATGCCAGTACGTACATTCCACCCTGATACAACAACCCACTACAGTGGGGAGCCATCAGATATGCCAGTACGTACATTCCACCCTGATACAACAACCCACTACAGTGGGGAGCCATCAGATATGCCAGTACGTACATTCCACCCTGATACAACAACCCACTACAGTGGGGAACCATTAGATATGCCAGTACGTACATTCCACTCTGATACAATAACCCACTATAGTGGGGAGCCATCAGATATGCCAGTACGTACATTCCACTCTGATACAACAACCCACTACTGTGGGGAGCCATCAGATATGCCAGTACGTACCTTCCACTCTGATACAACAGTCCTCTCTCTGGGGAGCCTTACACTTACTTTTGTACCGACAATAGGTATATGGTGGGTGCTATGCTAGAGTAAGACATGCTAACCCTTACCCCACAATAACTGATCAACACTTTTAGCACAAAATGTGAAAATTGTCTTTACAAGCAGCAAGTCATCACCAGTCTACGTCTCGACTGCGGGATGGCATGTGTCGCGTGACCATAAAGGGGTATTTAGAACAGGTGCAGAGACGGGTCACTGTCTACGTGTTCTTGAAATGCTAACCCCTTCAGCAAACCTCAAGGCATGAATGTTATTATTTGCCCAAACTAGCAATCGATGATGGAGATATCGAAGATATGACTCAATAATCTGCCTTAATCACAAACCAGAACCCCTCAACCACTTCAACAGCCTCGGTACGACGCGTATGCCCACTGTAGTACTTACCTTGGTCATCCTTATTATGATTTAGGGTGAAGGGGATAGCTTACTTGTTAAACCGTTCGCTCGTCACACCGAAAAGTAGGGTTCGATTCCCTACATGGGTTCAATGTGTGAAGCCTATTTCTGGTGTCCCCTGTCGTGACATGGCAGGAACATTGCTGAAAGCCAAATTCACTCACTGGTGTTCCATGTAGATAAGGGTCAAGAGTGGCCCTATCTTTTGATGTGCGTACCTGAAATGAGTCAAACCATTGATAGAGGGTTCGAACCCTGTTTCGCCTATATTACTTTTCCAGGGTATCAAACGATTACCCCCTAAATTACTTGGCGCCTTCAACAGCATCCATCTACTGTGATTCACACAGTTCAAAACCCTTTCAATTTCTCTGCAGTTAACATGGCGTTCATTGCACTGATGGCAGCAGAAGAAGGCCTCAGTGCTGCGGCGTACAGGAAGTGGGCTATGAGTCAGGTTCACTTCGCACTGGGAGATGCTGGCCACAGCTACGTTGTTGGATTCGGAAAGAACCCCCCTCAACGCCCCCACCACAGGGGAAGGTAAGTTACAGATGGGTCTATACCCCTCAACGCCCTCACCACAGAGGAAGGTAAGTTACAGATGGGTCTATACCCCTCAACGCCCTCACCACAGAGGAAGGTAGGTTACACATGAGTCTATACCCCTCAACGCCCTCACCACAGAGGAAGGTAGGTTACACATGAGTCTATACCCCTCAGCGCCCCCACCACAGAGGAAGGTAGGTTACACATGGGTCTATACCCCTCAACGCACCTCACCACAGGGGAAGGTAGGTTACAGATGGGTAATGGGTAGGGAAATTTATTTGGTTCATCTGTTGCTCACTAATATGTACATTTCCAATTTAAATTGAGCAAATGGATAAATATATAAATAAAAAGTTACAGGTTTCAACTACCATATGAAGCTATTTCTTATAAGTCATATTTACCTATCCTTCTAAATATTCAACTCATTAGCTGATGACTTCTGTTTAAGCTCCTGCCCAATGATGCCTGCTCCCTGTGGCTGGAACGACCAGCGCCAACCGGGCCCGAACCCCCACACACTATTTGGGGCGTTAGTCGGGGGACCAGACAAGTCCGGGTCCTACTCCGACAAGCGAGATGACTATGTCAGGAACGAAGTAGCGTGTGACTACAACGCCGCCTTCCAGGGAGCAGTTGCAGGTGCGTGAATACAGTCAGCTGCATCCTTCCACAGGGTAGCCTGTTGGGTAACGTTCGCTGGTGCGTGAACGCAGTCAGCTGCATCCTTCCACAGATTGTTGATTTCATGGTGAAAGACCCTTGTTCGAACCATTCATGTCAATGTCTATATCTACCGCCGCAGTAATGATGGAAGTTTACTCAAATCGGTATGAAACCATTTTTGGTCACTCGGTGATAAGCCTGGTGTTTCAGTTAAAAACCATCCTATTTTTCTACTGCAGGTTATTTTCTGCGTAGCTTCTAAGAGAAATGATATTTATGTGAGTGATTCTTTGACATAAGGAATGTAGTGACGTGATGTATAATGGAGAGTTGTGGTAACACGTGTATGCATCCATAAGAAATGTATTTTCTATTGTTTCAGCTCTGAAATCGCTGTTCTTGAGGAAGCTATACCCGAACTAAACTCAACATACTTGTTTACATTATCATGGAATAAATACTATACACTTGTACACTTCTAATCCGAGTCGTCTCTTTTTGACACTTTAGATAACAATCCTCTTATACTGTCAATGTGCCTACTTTCTTATACGGAGCCAGACTTGCAGGCGTATAGTCTTTGACGGAGTCGTAGTTGTCTGCTTTCTGACACAGTCATTGAAATAACACTGAAGCAATATAAAACATCCCTCTGGTGCTGTGTGTAGGGAAGGCAAGCGTTCTTAAGGCAGAACAGTGTGCTGTGATCGTATCCTCAAGCAACCGGGTTGTTTTTCAGCCTATAGACACAACGTTTACAGGTTTTTAGGGTGTTGTCACTTCCGGGGTGTACAGTACATAGAATATCCTCAGACGTACAGTACACAGGCGGCAGAGTCTTTTGTGGCAAGGGACTTAGTTCAAACGTGCCTCTGTTCACCAGCAGGGAATGGTACTAGGATATGGTACTAGTACAAGGATGCCTCGGACAACCATTAGGTTAAACATACAGACAATGCCTATGAGAATATATACTAAGCAGCAAAAGAAACGTCAGTTTGGAATGTTCCTTCGCAGAAACGGATAACTGTAAACTCATTTAATGTTTTGATTCTATAATTTTGACAACATCTCCAACTTTACCTGAGCAAAGACATTCCTTCCCAAACTCAGAATGGAACCAAGGAAATGGTCTCAAAAACGCAACCTGATCTCGGAGAGGGTACGGTGTTCTCCTTGTTTTTCATGCAACTCATGCTGCACGTGCTGTTCACAAGGACCAGCCCTATAAAATGCACCCCAAACCTGGTTGAAACATTCCCATTACAACGTCCAAGCAGGATGCCGCGACTCACGACAGCTCAGAGGAACCAGACGCTAAGAAGACTTGAAGCTGGCCACACTGCACAAGCCGTTGCCAATCACTTTCGTACCATCTCCAGGCTGCAGCAACGTTTCCGGGCCACCAACACCACAAATGATCGCCCCAGTACTGGCAGAACAAGGGTGAAACAAGACAACAAGACCGCCATGTTGTGCGACAACATGTACATAATCCTTTCATGCAGGCATCCGAAACAGCACGCCAGACAGTGGGAACACACGGAAGACCAATCAGTACTGGTACAGTACGCCGACGTCTTAACAGCGGGAACCTCCGTGGACCTATCCTCAACCCTCGTCATCGGCGTGAACGTCTACAGTTTGCCCTACAACACTAAAACTGGCGATGCAGGCAATTGAGAACTGTTCTGTTCACAGATGAGAGTCGGTACTGCGTATCAACTGCAGATGGCAGAACAAGCATATGGCGACAACGTGGCCAGCGTTACTCAGACCAATGTGTTGTGGATACTCATGGGGAAGTGCAAGCATCAGGGTATGGGGTGGAATAGGCCTGAACCAGAGAGTGGGTCATGTGGTGTTCCAGAACTTTAGTCCAGGGAGAGGAGGCGGCATCACAGCGGTGCGCTACATCGACCAAGCTCTCAGGCCCCACGTCATACCACATTTCGCACGTCACCGGAACAACATTTTCCAGCATGATAGCGCCCAGGCCCATACTACCAAAGCTACACGAGACTTCCTACAGCAGAACGGTGTCAACATTGTGCAGTGACCAGCCCTTAGTCCTGATTTAAACCCAACTGAATATCTTTGGGATGAAATTCAGAGGAGAATAATGTCATACCAAGGCCGAACACAGCCGATTTATTGCGCCAGGCCTTTCTCAGAGTGTGGTTCAAGGTGCCAATGGCCTTCATCAATCGATTGGTGCACTCCATGCATAGACGCTGTGCTGCAGTTATTGCCGCTCTTGGTGGTCACACTAGATACTGAAGTCAAGGGTCTGAATGGACTGCAAACGTTCACGTAATGTCTTGAAATTGAGCTGAGATATTCATTGATGTGTCAAGATGATGTACACAAAAACAGTTTTTGATCCGCTTATTATGTCCATTTCTGTAATGATTTGATTACAGTGCCTATCTAATTTTGAATTCGTACTGGTTTTTTTTGCTGCTGAGTATAGTAATAAACATAAGACAGAAAAATGTCTGACTGTCTGACTGTGTAAGTCTGTTGGAATGAGATAATGATTGGCTGACGATGCATAGTGACGATGATGACCTAATTTACATATGTAAATATAAGAATATATACTATATTGTAAACTGTCGATTTGTAAACCAGAGCATTTCTCTGAAATGGCGTGTCTTATGTCTTTACAAATCATAACAAAAGACCAGGATCTTCAATAATGGATGCCGTGTTGACTTTATTACTGCCAATATTTGCAGCAGGATAGGCTGTCTAAGGGCAGATGTCCTTGTATGTTGCTGGAAGCTCATGTGTGAGAGCCAGGTGTTCCAGCGCTGAAACAGGAACATGGTAATATTCTTACACATGGAACGCAGCTTTAAAGATCATGTGAATTTATGAAGATAAAATTCCGTATGGAGGTTTAATTATTATCTATCGATCGATGTAATCTGGCAATGTTATAATGTAATGTCAGAGAATAGCGATTCCATTGGGAGTAAAAGGCAAATTATTTGAAATGAATTAAATGGATCACTGGTCTGGGTTTTGTACAAAGGCGTCACGTAGATTCTTGGATATTTATCAACGTTACAGCAATACCATATTATGAAGATATTTCGATAGATTTATGCAGTTCGGGATATATGAAAAATCAGAAAAGGCGTTGCTTAACATGATTTCCGGGTATGTGTGTTTTGCTGGCTATTTTGTTTGCTCTGAAACTGACCGCTAGATGGCATCTTTCGATTTATTATACGGTCAGCTTTGCCGTTTTATACATGCTTCAAAATTGCTTTATTATCAACACACCTGCCGTCGATGCGTGCATGCCGGCGTTGTAGTCGCACGCCACCTCGTTCTTCACGTAGTCCATTCTGCTGTCGGTGTAGTCGTCGCCCTGACCTGGGCCGCCCACCATGGCGCCGTACAGGGTGTGTGGGTTAGGGCCTTTGTTTAGCTGGGCGTCCCATCCACATGGCGCCGGAAGCATCGGACAGGAACTGGTTGAAGGAAGCATGGAAAACTTGCATGTAGCAGATAGACACGTCCATATCATAATAAAAATGTCAAAATATTCCTAGAAAATTTCATTTTCAAGAAGTGACCAGCCAGGTGAACAATATTGTTATACGACAACATTTTCATACGTGATGATGAAGTTTGTGATTAATGTGGAATTTTGTTGAATTCCCAAACCATACAATCATGTTTCAGACATACAGTCACGAGAACAAGTATACATATATACAATGAACACTGAGAATGTACAAACCTCGCTCGGTGATGTGGCTTCACGGGAGGGTTGACACCGAATCCGACAATATAGCCGCTTCCGGTGTCTCCGTAGGCGTAATGCAACTGCGACATCGCCCACTTCCGGTATTCCTCTGTGTGGAGGCCGTTGTCCGCGGCGACGAGGGCGATGAAAGCCGTGTTGGCTGGAAGTGACATGAGTGACTGAATGGTGAGGCTCTTTAAACGGAATTAGTGTATTGATATACCACACCGAATATATCCACGTTTATTCAAACCTTCTGCCATACGACTGTAAATCTAGGTTTCACTTAAATAAACGCATTTGTGAAACGATAAACCATTTGTAACTGCCCCGCTGCGCGAGATAGATATTATGTCCTTTAACTGATCGCTATCTGTGCAACACAGATCATACAAACATGATGTTACAAACAAGCATATCTTAGCGCTCCCCACTGTAGTCTGAACGCCATGCACTTGGGACATCTCCACCGGGAAGCCACATCGTGAACGTGTCCTCGATGTCCTTCTTGTATATGTCCTTCTTGGTCTCCTCATACAGCAGCATCTGAAGGACGAGGACATTGTGTAGGTAAAGGTTTAGGATCATCTGCTGACGTGTACGCAGAGTGGAGTGAGTGAGTGAATGACAGTCATACTTGTATAATAATTGAGTGAGTTAAAAAAATTCAAATAATGGCTCATGGCACGATGCACTAGAAATGGACTTTACACTTTGTACCCAAGTGGAGAATCGCACCCGGATCTTCAGCGTGGCCAGGGAACCACTAGGCTACCCCACCGCCCCTCTCATTTCTTTGAAGTTGTATTTCAGAGTATACTAAAACGAGCAACATGCACTGGTGAAAAATATATACACATATTCATTGCATACTGAGAATGTATCCACATGGCGACTGTTATCCATGGAACTAAATATGCCGGTGAAGGTTGATGATAATTTTTAATCATTTCATTCAGATTACATTATCCACACACTGGATGTTATATAATGGACCTGCATTCACCTATGACGGATGTAGAGGATACATTAAGACTGTATACCAGGTTTATATCCACGGAAACGGTAATATACTATTTACACTACCACCCCGTGATATCCATGTACTGTTCAAAGTGGCGGTAAATATACTAGGCACATAAAGAAACTGTGCATAAAAACATTTAAAATCTAAATTAATCAAACCTGTGTAGACACATAAGGATTTAAACTCAGAGATTAGTGACATGTATCCAACATGCATGCACGTGCCTCGTTCCGTGACGTCAGTGGGTTCGTCCTTGAGACGTGCAATACGTTGTTGCACGTGCATTCCGGGAAAGAGAAACAGAGCAAATGAATGCCACACAATACTGTCACTTTGGAAAGCTCAACCCCTGCCCTTGCGATCGTTCAAACAATTAAACGGCTATTGAAACGCATAGCATGCCAGGGCACACGTCTGCACAACGTCATGAGGCCATTGGGATGGTCCGTGGGGGAATGTCTCAACGACAAGTGGCTGCACATTTCCACTGCCACCGGAACACCATTTCTGCACTGGTGAGACGCTACCAGAACACAAATGACGTCATCGATCGGCCACGTTCTGGACGTCCACGTGTAACAACGCCAAGACAGGATATATGGATAAGGGTGACCCATCTTTGCCACAGGTTTCAGACTGCAGTGATGACTGCCCGAACCATCCCAGGAATTCGCCGTATCCACCCCAACACAGTTCGACAACGTTTACGTCATCACGGGATCAGACCACGACGTCCCGCCATACGGCCTATCCTGACACAACGTCATCGACAAGCTCGCCGAATGTGGTGCCGAAATCATGTCCGCAGACCCTTGTTTTGGTGGAGAAATGTTGTTTTACAGATGAGTCCAGGTTTAACATTTCCCATAGTGATGGACGTCAACGTGCCTATAGACGCGTGGGAGAACGTTATGCACAGGCCTGTGTCTTGGAGAGGAATCGCTTTGGTGGTGGTTCCGTGATGATTTGGGGTGGAATAACAGCACGCCAAAGAACTCCTTTGGTGATTGTTCAGGGCAACTTAACTGGTGTGGGCTACAGGGATCAGATTCTTCGACCTGTGGCAATTCCTTTTCTGCAACGTCATGGCCCTGGGTTAACATTCCAACAGGACAATGCCCGCCCTCATACGGCAAGGGTTGCTATGGATTTCTTGCAACACCACAACGTTGACTTACTGCCTGGGCCTGCAAATTCACCGGATCTCTCCCCGATAGAGCATGTTTGGGACGAGATGGATCGACGTCTATGCCGTCTTCCTCATCCGCCAGATAACGTCCTTGACCTTCCAACAGAACTTGAGAGAATCTGGCGTGACATCCCACAAGCCTTCATTGCACGTTTGATAGGTTCTATGCGTCGTCGATGCACTGCTCTTCTCAATGCCGATGGTGGACATACCCGTTATTGAGCTTGTGACATGGTCGTTTGACCCCTGTCCCGCTTGTGGACTCGTGACGTCATTGTGATTGACTTTTCAATTGAAATTCTCCCGACTTGTTATGGTCTCAGGATCCCTCCATTAAAGTTTATATGTACCTTTGACATTGTTATCGTACTTATCAACTGGGATAATATTTTGACAATGCACAGTTTCTTTATGTGGCTAGTATATATAATTTGTTATTTCCAAACAGTTTCTTAAACCGTAATAACTGCAGAGTTGAAGTCGTTTGGAAACTTCTTGAAAACTCTTGCTAACATTACACAATGCCATTTAGAAAGTGGTCAAATCTAACATATGTACAAATTCTAGTACCTTGTTGGGTTGAGTCCGGGACTCGAACCCACCCCTGTTGCTAACAGTTCCTTGAAAATCGTTTAAATCATAAACTTTTTTTAGAAGATTTATCCAATGTTTTTAACAAAATGAAGCTCGAATATATTTGATAACTGGTTCACTGTTGGTTTTGTAACCGCCCTGCTCGTGATATCACCCTCTCCGGATGTCATGAAAATAAACAAAAACAAAACAACGTCAACAGTTCATCCTAACATCCCTCATCAACGCCAAAGACTGTCAGTAGAACAAACCGAGTCATTGTTGTCACAGACTAAAATATGTACCTGGGTTCACGACCTACCATGAACACCGGGTGTTACATAAATCTGCAGTCAGCAAAGCCTCGTCGTGGTCAATATGAAGTTAATGCTCCCGTCGCACTCTCATCCGGTTTGTGTATGCTGGAGGATAAGCTAAGCTGATATTAGCACAATGAGAGTAGTGTACCTGTGGCTGTCACAATATATGTCATTAATAGTGTGTTGATAGAGATACTCGATATTGGTCTACAGGGGAAGCTTGTTCATCCAGATGGTTCAATCCACTGCTGGATCAGGATGGCAAGTGGCTTTACATGTCTCTGAGCGTATTGACAGTTGTAGCACATGTACTGGTCTTTTGAAGAGACAGAACTCCGAGCCATGACCGAAACATACCCCATCGCCTATCAGTATCACCATACGCTACCTGTCAGCCATCACTGAGAACAAAGCCAGCACAGATGTCACCTTTTCCAGCGGCAAGGCTTTCAACACCCATCTGCGGGCCATTGTCACAAGCACCAAGATCCGGGTATGAATTGGTCTTCAGCAACCCATGCTTGTCGTAAGAGGCGACTAACGGGATAGGGCTCTCTGACTTGGTTGACACATGTCATCGTGTCCCAATTAGATCGGTGCTCATGCTGTTGTTCACTTGATTGTTTGGTCCAGACTCGATTATTACAGACCACCGCCATATAGATGGAATATTGCTGAGTGCGGCGTTAAACCAAAACCCAACCAACCAAACCAAATCTATTAATTCCATTACCAAACAGTGCTTATGACCGATCAGAATAATTTACTTGTGGCTTCCATTTGTATATTGTTATTATGATACAGCATTAATTAACAATTGGGTCAAACTTTGTCATCTTGTTACTTGTGTTTTCTCACATATACATATAGAAGCTCTTTTTGTACCCTATCATCCATTCACTTCTAAAGAAGTTGTTATCCATAAAGTTTGTCTCTATTTTGTATCATCCATTCAGCTGATGAAGGAGAAAGAATTTAGTCCGAAACCTTGTGTTTCTTATACGAAAGTAGTTGACATCCAAACAATGTATCTGATAAGTATGCACGTCCGGGATTTGCCACTCCCACACAAGCTGCTGAATAGATTTCAAATTTGACAACAACCAGCAGCCACCAGCAACCACCAGCAACCACCAGATTCAAGAACAGAATGTTGACAATCCAGGGTATCGCTTTGTGACAGAGAACATATAATTAGAATTAAAACCATGATGTGAAATGTTTGACCTCGCATGATTTTAGTTGATCTTGTCTGGCTGGCCAGATAATACGTTATTTCAGTCCTGCTCTTGGGACAACATAACCCCTGATAAGATCTGACCTTGGTCTACAGCCCTCACAAAGATGGTGAACCTATTTCCTTTCTATACATCTCGTCTAGGATTGCTGGGAATTGACATTTGCTAAAGGTTAAGGTCACAAAGGTGGAAATTACCAGTGCATATAGGCAGAGATACCGACGGATAGAAAACGACCACCCATTGCAAATTTCATGATGTACATAACATTAACACTAAACGATGCATTACAGTCTTATGCAAGAAGAAGTGAACAGTTAATTCAATCAGTTAAAACTCAAGAAAAAATACCATGCCTGTATTAAATGCTGCCTGGTACAACACCTAGGTAATGTTTGAAATTGTCAGGTAGGGAAGAGTGAGTGTCTATGGTTTTACGCCGCTTTTTGCAATATTCCAGCAATATCACGGTGGGGGGACACCAGAAATGGGCTTCACATTGCACCCATGTCGGAAATCGAACCCGAGACTTTGGCAGGCATGAAATAGCCCGCGCGACCTCCACACTGTTTACCTGTCAGTAACTCGTATCAAAATGAGAATAACATCGGTTCAGTCCAAAGTAATGAATATCTTTCAAATTCCATACTTCCATAGTTATTTGGCGTTTGATCAACGGTTGTATGTACCTAGATGGTCAACTAGATTAGTACCTCGACTTGTATTGAACCTGTATTCGATTTTGGTTTCCAAACAGCAGACTTATTTTTCCCTTTCATTCCAAAATTTTGCAAATCACCTGATTGACAGGGACGAACATAGCAAGGGCCTGCTTGGGCCTTGTCAGGGTTGAGTAAATAGATAACGATGGCAT